AGGATTGTTGTGAGCACTAGAGAGCACTGCCTGGTACATAGTAAGCACTCAATATATATTACCTGCTACTGGTATTGTTATTATTATTTTTAGTTACCCTTGTGTAGTGGTGGTTAAAGTGAACCTCTCCAGCTGGGAACACCTGGGCTAAGGACCTGTCAATCCATCTTGTCATGACCTTAGTGAGATGAATGATGAAGAATCAACTGTTTAATCCCACTGAAATCCTAGGCCAGGAGAATAGCTTCAGGCTTGAAGGGGGTGGATGTTGAGGGATGATCTTAAAGAAAAGCATAGAAGGGATTGTTGTCTATTATGTCCATCTAAACAGTGGTTGAAATGGTTGGTCTGAAAATGTCTTGTCAATCACACCATCTTGGTGTCCCCCCAAGACCTCTCTTAAAGCACAAATAAATTATCTAAGAGTCCACCAGAAATCTGGACTCCTAACACTTTGCATGTCCACACACACTAGTTTTCAGGATTGCTGTTTCCTGAAAATAGCTATTGGCATTGGGGGTAGGTTGAGAGATGGACAAAGGAAAATGACCCAGAGTTGGTGCTGTGCTGGTAAAAATGTCGCAACCTGTTCTCTGGGAGAGAAGCCCTAATTTCTAGTGTGCTGTACATCTCCCACCACGGCTGATTTCAGCTACCAACCTGATGTCACTGAACGAGAGGTGCTCAGTGAATGGCGTACTGTGATATAGCATTTCCACCTACAGATGCAGGAGGGCTCAATAACTTCAACAGCACGAATGAGAGTGAAAAGTAGTACAACAATTAGGAAGTGATAAACTTGGAGTATCCGTTACTTTGTTTTTAACCTAATTTATTTAATTGTAAGTTTATACAACTCATTTAAAAATAGTGGCCATGTTTAACAACCAGCTTGTAAAATTTCTGAAATCTTAACAGTTGTCTTTCATGAGGACAATAAGCCAGCTCTGGTGTCCCACTGCAGGGGCCCCATTTATGTCTGGTTGATCAAGGTGAGAAGATTCATCTGGGTCCATTGTGCTAAAGCCTCCGGATCTTATAAAGCACAACCCTTCACTCCAGCCCAGCCAACTCCTTTCTTTCCCTATGCTACCACTGCCTCCCCAGTTCTGGTTTCAATCACTCCCCAAAGCATGTCCCTCCCACAACAACCCCAGCTTCTCCTTCTCTCATCTGGGTCATAATAGGGCTCCTGGGCTCAACCACGGGAAACAGGCTGTGCTGAAGGGGCTCCCATGGCAGTTACCCCATGAACCCTGACTTGGCCGGTGGGCTGGGCTCTCCCACGCTAGCCCACCTCCTTCTCCCAGAATTTCACTGCACAGGTCTGCCCAGACAGCGGCTGGTACTTTCAATCAGGATAAAACAAAAGCGTGAGACGCTGGGACCTGCTTCCCTGTCAGGAATTGCCAGGCCTTGGGTCCTGTGCTCTGTTGGACTGAACTGCTCACAATATTGCACACCATTGGCTGATGGTCTCTTTATGAACTTAATAGATTTTTTTTCATGTGTTTCTTCTGCCTGGAATGTTCTTCAATCCCTCTCCATACTTTCATCTGGAAAACTCATTCTTCAGGATTCAGCTGCTGTATCACCTCCTCCAGCAAGCCTTCCCTGAATACCTCCCCAAGCAAGCTTAGATGCTTTTCCTTTGAAGAAAATAATGCTCTGTGTATCTATGTAATACCCTGCATGTTCTTCCCTAGGCTGCGAGCCTCTCAAGGGCACAGATGTGCTGTGTTCTTCTTTGTAGCCCAGTGCCTGGCATATAATGTATCCTGTAAATACTTGTCCTGCCCTTGCAGGATCTGGACTAAAAATTACCACTGTAGCTGAGCCTCTGTTTTGCTGCCAGTTCCTATAGGTGGAAAGGCCTCTGGTGAATACCCTTCCATCTGAACTCTGAAGGAGATGTGAGCATCAGAAGACCCATCCCCTTTTCACTTATCTATTTTTTGAACACAAAGATTGTGTTTAACTCACAATTAATGAGGGAACCAGTAAGATGTCATGGGCTATTCTAAGGAGAATGCAAAATAAACACCTTTTTCAACTTAAAAAGAAATCCTTTCATCTGTTGATTTATAGTCCTGTATTATGGATGGCTGGCAAAACCCCACCCCTTTTGGCACCTGGCTCCCAGAGGGAAGGATGAGGTAGACAGCCTTCTTTGTGAAGTTGTTTCATTAATGATGAGGCTTTAAAAACATTAAGGATGGACTTTCCTGGTGGTCCAGTGGTTAAGAATCCACCTGCCAATGCAGGGGACATGGGCTCAATCCCTTGTCCAGAAAGATTCCACATGCCATGGAGCAACTAAGCCTATTTGCCAGCCACAACTACTGAGCCTGCACTCTGGAGCCAGTTCTCTGCAATGAGAAGCAAATGCAATGAGTAGCCCATGCACCGCAACTTGAGAGTAGCCCGCACACAGCAATATACACCCAGTGCAGCCAAAAACCAACACAAAAGACAAACAAAACAAAAAAAACATTCAGGAAAGATGGAAACAGAGCAGGCACTTGATGAGATTACTGGACCTAAGAACCAACCTGAAATCTCTTGCTTCTGGTCTTCCTATTAGATAGATGTCTTTTGGTGGGGGGTGGCGGGGGGGGGGGCAACTGTCCAAATATAGGAAATGTGAGGCCTGAGAAGTGAGAGCGGTGGAGTTCATGAGAGGCAGTTTAAGGACTGTGGAGTCAGACAGCCTGGATCCCAAGGTCAGCTGCGTGGCCTTCAACAAGTTGCATTCTTTTTCTGAAGTGCAGCATCCTCCTCTGTAGAACAGGGATGATAACAGGACCCACCTCAAGACTAAACACGATAATGTGGAGCACAACACCCCGCACATCATTCATTATCGGTCAAGGGGCGCTGCTTGCACAGAAAAGGTTGTTATCACCCTCTCTGCAGGTTCCCCAACCAAGTGTCCACCAGGTGAGTCTGTGGCACCCTGTGGGGGGAGCTCATAACAGCGGTGAAGGTCGGGGGCTCTGGAATCAGATTGCCCAGGTTTTCATCTGTATGACCCTAGGCAAGTACTGTAACCAGGCTGTGCTACAGTTTACTACCTATAACATGGGACTAGAGATCTACTTCACAGATTAGAGTGAAGATCTCATGAGAAGCTAAATATTTGAAAACCTAGAAAAGAGCCTGGCATGCTGGGAACACTCAGTATGTTAGCTGGGCCTTTGAACATCTAACAGTGTAAGAACATGACTTGTGCTTCCTGAAGACATGACCTCAGTCTTGGTTTGGGCATAAGTGGCATCCCCAACCAGGATGGAAGATCAAATCCAGTCACCATGAGAAGAGGATGCATGAAGTTCTGCCCAGAAGGTGGTAAAAGGAAGTCACATGAGTTGTCATGATTAGCCATTTCCTCCTTCCCTCCCTCCAGTTGGAACTCATCCTTGTAGACTGCCGAAACCAAAGTGCTTAACTCCATTTGTAGACTTCATGCTCTCCCAACCCTCAGCCCTGGTCCTTTTATGAAAGTGCTCACTGGGGCTTGTAGGAGAAGCACATGGTCCAAAGGGTCAATGATCTCCCCTTTTCCTGTGACTGTGTTGGATGTTCCCATAATGAACCTCTAAAACCCAAGAGAAGCAAGATTTTATAGCAAAACTCAACTTCTGTTAAGTAAGCTATTTGGGGACTTAATTTTGTTGCACTTGTGGTATCCAGAAATTGTTGATATTGACTTATTGAGAGGCAGGTGGTGTTCTGCAGGGGGCTAGTGGGAAGCACTTCACTAAGTGGTGGAAAGGGTTTTTAGGACTTTGTAATGCAGCCATGACATTGGGTCATACATGTGTGGACAGTAAACATGGCTGACCATTCAACGTAAGGATCAATTGAAATGGGGAAATCAGTAGCAGAAAACTGGAAAGGGTGGGAGAGGTGAACTCTGAGATTTGGAGCAGGGCTCCTTGGGGCCTCCCCCTCCTCTGCCTTGACCAGGGCATGGCTCTGCAGTGGACTGACCATGGACAAGTCTTGCTGGGAAGTTTCTGCGTTGCCTGGAAGAAGGCAATATGAACAGTACTGACATCAGCTCCTTCCCATCCCACCCCAGTCCCTCCTAGGAGTGAAGAAATCATAGAATGTAAGAGGGGACAGGAAAGTTTAAACATCTGGGAGCCTGTGGGTTGAGGGCATTTGTCCATCCCTTCTCTGGCTCCTGTCTTGTTTTGAGACCGGGAGTTCCTTCTAGGGAGGCATCTTAGGCCATGGAGAACTCAAAGGGTGGATCCCAGAAGACAGAAAGCAGAAAGTGTTGGCTTTGGCTTTGATCGAACAAGACCTTCTTTTTAGATGATTCAGTCCAGTTCTCCAGAGAGAATTAGGAGGCATTCTGGGCAGAAGACCTGCCTTGAAGGGAAGACTATGCCTTTGGCCTGTGTGTGCTCTATCTCATGAGAACCAGACAGCAGCAAATGAGGCATAGAAGGGCCATGTCCAACAGAGCCAAGCATTCCCTCTGGGACCTGGCTGGCAGGAGTTCGGATTTTCCTCAATTACCAGAAAGATTCTGTTACAAAGAACAAGGTCAGGCCCAAGTGGAGTTTTCTATCATTTTTTTAAATTGTTCTACTCCTATGTCTTTTTTTTTCTTAAGTGGTAAAATGGAACCTGTGTAAAGTCCTCAATGGCACGAGACTAGCACCCGTATGCTAAACGAGTTGAGACGTTACTGAAGTGCTCATGCCAGTGCCAGCTCTTTCAGCATCACTCATTGTCCTAGCCAATTTTACCAGTTTTCCTGTCAAATGGCTCATGCCATGGGCCTTAGCTTCAGCCTATTGTTGAGACACCATTGAATCGAAATAAAAATGTGTAATTTGCTTTCATGAACATTTTATCATGCCAAAGAAAATACACTAGGTATTGTGCTCTGTTTTAAACAAACCCAATATATGAACGGATTGACAAAGTAGTGGCAGGTTATTAGCAAAAAGTTTCAACATAATTAGTAACAACAAGCTTTCTGGTGCATTTTTAAACAATTAGTTTAATCAGTTCACACCTGCCTCGCTGTCACATACATAAGGTCTATTTCCTTGAAACATCTTCCAGTCAAATGTATTACAACCAATAGAAACAAGAACAAAATAGATGTTCTGATTGCTTTCAATTCAGCTTCTGACAAAAAGATACTGAAGTTATTTGGGCAATTCTTGCCCTACAGTATGGGTAGAGTTGTGTTAGATACAACGTGAGACAATAGGAAACATTTTTAAATGAACAACAAGCTTTCACAGAGACTGTCTATATCACATTGTTATTACAACATAGATGAGCTGAAACTTCATTTGTATATTTTGAGGAAAGAAGACCCTAAAGAGACATCAAGCATATAGAGGTAGTTGAATAGCAATATGGGAAGAAAAAAAAGAAGCATTATATTTATTCCCCGTTTGGGTCATTACAATGCAAGAGTAAAATGGCTGCTTAACAAACAATGGGAATTACAAACACAAAGACACATTTGCCACTGTTTAAATGGCTTGCTTGATATTTTAATCCTGGCATTACCGAGAACTGCATAAAATGATGGAACTAGTTTATCTAAGGTAAAGCCTATGATGCCACACTGAACTATTTGCTCTCCTTTGATTTTGTTGTTGTTTATTATCATTGCTTTGACTATAGATAAATGTCAAGCAACTTTTCAAATGAAGCATAAGCTACAGTGTTGCTTTGTAAACTTGTTAATCACATTTGCTGCAACAAGGTTTTAAACGGCTACACAGTCACAAAGCAAAGCTTTAAAATGACACCAGGAACAGGAATTACAGGCACTTCTCTCTCAAGGTTAACAGCCCATTTGAAAACACCCATTTGTAAGGGGAAATGTCTTCATTTCACCTCTGGTTGTGCATAATCCAGATTATAAAATAGTTGAACAGTGGGAGCTATCATTCTAAGGGGAACCAAATGCATACATTTGACTTGGCTCCTTTTCCTTCTTTCTTGCACTCAGGAAAGGCCACAAATCGCAGGCCATGCAGCCGGCTGCTTCTCAGAACTGTCTTTGATCAAATCAAAACCTCATTCCTCATGCCCAAGAATGGGCTGAAAATCTGTCCTTTTCTCTTATTCGGGATGCCTTCTATTTGCATCTCAATTGCACATCTCTGCTATGATTCTGCCTTGGGAAACAGAAATGGATGCAAAGTCAACATGTTGGGAACTCAAGGAACGAGTCCCTGAATAACACTCCCATCTTGGAAAAGGAGTTGGTGAGGGGAAACACAGTCCCCAACGGGTTCCAGTCCATCAACAGTATGTGATCTATTGGCAGTGAGAGACCTCTGGGTGCTGTGAACCAGCCTCAGAGCTCCACCGCTCCAACACCCAGTCACAGGGGACTATCTGAACCCAGTCCGGCTCCACAAGCAGAACTGGAAGCGCCACATGCGCAGTGATTTGGCTAGCCCCAGAGTGCTATGGCAGCAGTGGACTAGATGCAGTCGGCCTTCAGAAAAGGCAAATTGTTAACATAGTCAATTCTCTACCCCACTAAATAAGGGGCAAGCACTCTTTTCTCCAAGTTATCTACAGAAATTTAGTTTTTATCATTTTTCATTTTCTACATTTTGCTGGTTATTAGCTAGCAGCAATAATAGTACAGTACAAAGCAGAAAGGCATAATGTCTGCTTGGTACCTAATATATATATATACACAAGTACACACACACATATATATGCACATCTATATACACCTATATACATCTTTATACACACACACACACACACACACACACACACACACAGGGAAAATAACCTACTAGGAAAAGGCTAGGTCAATCACAATAAACTAGCTGAATAAATGGCACTGACTACCAAGGGGGAAGTCTTGTCCTTCTGGCCTAGATTTAACTTTATGTTTTTATTGTGTATACTCTTTATTCCTAAGCTTTGCAGCAAAATCAATTCACAAGCAGTGAAATGGTCATGTCCAATTGATTATCCCATTCAAGTACATATCAAAGAAAGTCAAGGCTTAGCTTTGCACCTTGCCTCCCACCACTACTGAAACAAAAGCTTGCTATAAAACAATCCAAATGTGTATCAAGGGTACTGGGAGGCAAGTGCGTATCTGCCTAGCCAAGATCTATTGCTACAGTTAGGTCCTCACTCATAAATGTGAAATATCCTATGATGTGGAATTTTATACATTTTGGAGAGCAAGAAGTGATGAGTTGGTTATTCTACGGAGTTAGAATTTAAGGCTTCCATTATATCAGAAATTCTAGACCTCCAAACAACACTACTTTTTAGTCCTCTTGAAAGAGGGAAAATTTGCTGGCATGGGATTTTTCCCTTATTTCTAACCCTCATTTGTTTTCCAGTCTTTTCACTTTCCCAAACAGACTTGACCCCCAAAGGAATTACATGTAAATCATCAAGTTATGGTCTGAAAATCAGAGGTGTGGATTCCCTCAACCAATTGTAAAGGGTTTGGAAATGGGTATTGTATGTAAAGGCATGGTTTTATGGAAATGTAGCCCCTGATGATATTCTGTAACTATGAATAATCTAAGCAGGGCAGTTACTTGTTGAATGACTCCTATGTGCTAGGCACTATGCTAAGTGATGTATATTATCTCACTTAATGTTGTATTAATAACAACCCTACATGAAGTATTTATCATTACCATTTGCTAGATGACAAACTGGTTCTCAGAAAAACTGAAATCACAAAAGTAACACATCTAGCAATCAGAGACACTTATGACCCTCTTCTTTGCTGCATTTATGCTAGATAATAGGAAACTATTGTCCTAGGACTGTATTCTGACCATCTGGTTGGGCACCAAGTGGGAGCGGGAGCCTTTCATTTCCTCCTCCCTGAGCCTGGGAGAGTTTGCTTGGGCAGTAACCACTCCTACACTTCCATTTTTCACTGGCCCAGCTGGGCTCCAAACATCCAACCTGGGACCACAATGTTCTGACAACACAGTGTTCATTAAGAAAGTGCAGAAGAGGTTATTTGGTTTCTGCTTACATGAATCTCTTTTCTGTTGCCTGGATCAACTCATTCTCCCTTTTCTGCTTCTAGCCACAGGTGGTGATGGAAAAAGTCAGGCTGATTACTTGAGGCAATAACCTCTCATGGGAACAGAGTGGATGGGCTGCACATGAGTCACGCATCGCAGCTGTCCAGAGTCACATGGGGGGATTATTTACGTGAAGGTAGGAATAACACGATTCATTTCTTCCCTGCCCTAATCTTTTCACTTGGTTGTTATAACACTCCTGTTTTCATGTTGTCGTAGCACTGAAGAAATCAAACTGCACTAAGCAAGCTAAACAAGACCTCACCCTTACTCTCTTATCACTGTTCTTCCCCTGTGTTGAAATCTTTAGCCCACCACAACAAGGAGGGAAGATCATGATTAACTGTCTGCTTCCTTTGAAAAGACTTAAAAACCAAAAAGGTAGTTTGAGGGTTTTTTAAAAAGGGTTCTACATCTTTTTTTCCTGGTTTCTTTACACTTTTAATAATGAACCATCCTCATCAAGTGTTTCCACACATGCTAGCCAGGCCACAATCCTCACAACCCTGACTGACAAGAGGCGGGGTATGGAGGCTAGCTGGGCATGGCTGTGATGTGCCAGACTGAAAACCATCACCTCTGAAGAGTTAAATATTCTGCCTTCCCATTCTAACTGAATTGGAGAGAAATTAAGATATAATTAGATTGCTGAAATAAATGCCTATGAGAGATTGTAATAAAATATACTCTTCTAATTCATCTCTTGAGTCCAGAAAAATAATTCCTTCATCCTGCCTCCATAGCAAATGGATTATTTTTATTGTACCCTGGCTTATTCCATAACCTATGCCGAATCCCATAAGTGTTTTCTACTGTTGCATTCAAATTGAAAGCAAAATAGAATCTGTAAAGATAGATGATCTTAGCATGATGCTGAACTTCCTTTAAGCATCAATTGGATAGATACTGAAATGGTTCAAGAACTGGGGTCACATGTAGCACAAACTGTTAAAGCAAAAATCACACATTTCTAGTATTGTTACTTCCCCCTAGGTACATGGTAAACCACAGCAATAAATAAAGCAGTATTTTTCAGTAATGCATACTTAAATAGTTACAAACACACATGTAGGGAAAAAAAAGATATTGTAGTGCAAAAAATAAATTATTAAAACCGAAAGAACTATGAACATTATTTTACACAATGCTATATAAAATCTGAAACATTTGGAATGAGATCTCAAAAGTCAGTAAGATAATGTAGCAACATGATTAGGAACTGGGTATCACATTTCAACCACACAATCATTCCTCTATGAAAGACAAAAATTAAAGCAAAACCACTTTAAACTTTGAGAAAATTTTATGTCAAAATCAAAAAATTTTTTTTTCTTCTGGGCTCTTAAACAACCTCTGCTGTGCATGTAGTTGTGCAGCATGTCAAGAAGCATCTTCAGAAAGAAAGTTGCAAACAGATCACATTTTTCTGGTCTTTCTACTTAATTTCTCTCTGATCAATAGTAGGAGAGTGATTCTGTTTGATACTTCCTTCTAAGATGTTATTGCAATTAGATATATTTACAAGATGACTCCCCTGCAGTGGTGGGGGAGCGTAGGGGCTCCTTTTCAGCAATCCACTCACTAGTTCTGGTTTCGGGATATAAAGGCCAGGATTCGCCGAATACCATTCAGCCGATCCTTCAGGGATGTCATTGCTAGGAACGGGAGCTGAGCGCGGCTTTCCAGTGGAAGAACCGCTAAAGTCCACCAGCACCAGGCCGGGCCATTTGGGTTGATCTGCAACAGAGAAATGGTATGGGTTCACCCTATTCCCACAGAAGCGATCCCAGTCTGCAGGCTTCCAAAGCCGCCAGGAAACAATCCAGGTGGAACTACTTCTGTGTGTGGCAGAAACTGCTAATTACACCCCCCCCCACCCCAATATCTAGTTCCTTTATCTTAGCTGGGCATACAGCCACTGGGGCCGAGGCAGGGAAGCTTCATTGCTCAGTTTCCCTTGCAGCCATAAGACAAAGTCCTGGCTAATGAGATGTAAGAGGCATTGATGCGTATAACTTCTGGGTCATTCTCTGGGAAAGGGGCATGTGCCCTCGCCTTCATCTTTCTCTCCCTTTCCCCTGGCTAGATCGTGGACATAGTGATGATCACCTTCTTCACTCAGGAGGATGAGGGCAGCAGTTACAGGAGGGTACAGCTTTGCCAGGAATGAGCCTGGGTGTCTGAATGATCTGATGGAATAGGGCTGCCCTAGCTCTCCATCTCTATGACTTCTGCTCTCTATCTAGTTTAAGCTACAGTTATTTTTGGTAGTGGTTAAAGCAGACACATTGCTATCTTAACAAATACACCATACCTTCTAGCCAGTGTGATTTCATGAGCTGAACTAGCTACTACAGTCAGCCCTCCATATCCACAGACTCAACCAATTATGGATTGAAATTGGTTGACTGAATCTGCAGAGGTGAAACCTGTAGATGCAGAGGGCTGGTTGTACTCATTGCACTGCGTCACTTTATAGAAGGGGCCTCCTGGAACCAATCCCCTGTGGAGACCGAGAGATGACTACTCAGCCTCTTCCACCTCTTAGATTCTGTTTAGGCCATTTGGCCTGGTGTGCAAAGCATGTGAGCCTTCAGTTCTTATGACCTCTTAGGCTTCGTGTGTCTCTTACCTCCCTTCTTTTCCCTGTTTTTGGCTGAAGGCAAGAATCTACATATGCCAGGTTACTATATGGGCCACAGTTAGCTTCTCCCCAAAAACCAGAGCCAATGGTTCACAGTCCCAAAGGATAACTTTGCAAAAATTCCAATTGCAAAACACAGTCACATGGAAATATATTCCACCCCAGGTTTCCTTGAATAAAGAGCTTTCCCACCCCACAGAAATCCTGCACCAAAATTCTGTTTGTCAGCAGTGTCCCAGGCACACACTGTAGACACTGATGACTTATTTTCTCATTGGTTGTTGTTTAGTTGCTCAGTCCTGTCCGACTCTTTTGCAACCCCATGGACTGAGTCCTCCAGACTCCTCTGTCCATGGAATTTTCCAAGCAAGAATACTGGAGTGGGTTTCCATTTCCTTCACCAGTGGTTCTTCCCCACACAGGGATCAAACTCACGTCTCCTGCACTGCAGGCGGATTCCTTACCACTGAGCCACCAGGGAAGCCCAACTTATTTCCTACTAAGCCCCAAATGAGCTTTCTGCCCACATCCTTTGGAAGGCTGGCTTTAGAACTGCAGAGAACCACATTCTGGTCAAACCATCTACACATGGGATTATTTGCCTCCAAATTGGTCACCTGATTTTCCTCCAACCCTTGCTGCCTCTTTGCTTCTCTATGCCTCTAGATTCATTTGGATTCTTTTTGTCCCTTGCTGCAGTCTGTAACATCTCCTCCCTCCTCTGATAAGTTCTGAATGTTAGATAGATATATCCTGAACTGTATTTCCCAAGATCATTAAGAAAGATATTTAAGCTGATGTTAATACATGCGGCAGTTTCTAAGAAACCCCCTCTGGAGCCTTAGAACATTCTTATTAATGGGACCGCTGGGGCTATAGCATTGAATGGCTCAAACTAGACGCGATTTTTTTTTTTTTTTGCTGCTGCTGCTGCCAGAGCAACATGATAACAGTCCTCATAAGAAATGAAACAGAACCCAAGATTTCAGCTTTGTGTCACTGAGCCCTTATGAATCACTCTGTGGCATCTGTGTTTTCTCTTATGGAAGATGCTGTCACCATTACTGATCTCTATCTTCTGCCTGACTGGGGGAGAATGCTTTCCAGAAGATGAAGGGGAATATTCAACTTGATCGTGAGCTTCCTCTGAGCTCTGTCGTAGTCATGAGTCACACTGGCCCAGAGCCAGGAGCCTGATCACTGGGAAGCATTAACTGCCCTTCTCCCTCCAGCATTCATGATGCCTTTGAATAGGGGGAAGGAGTCACATTTGTGGTCTGGAGGAAACAAGACACTTCAGCCCATTAGGGAAGGGACTGGTGTTTTACAGCCTCAGAAGGCAAGAGGAAGAAGGGACTTTAGAGACCTCCTCATCTACCTCCCTCATTTCAGAGATGAGGGGAAAGTTGACAAAGGGGAAAGGACTTGCCAAGGTCACATAGCTAGAGGTAAGGAGGACCAATCTTTTAGCATGGATGTCAGAACCTACATAGTCTATTCTACTATTGTGACAGAGTCAAGAATGAGTGTAAGTCAAGAATCAAGGGAGTTATAGGGATGATATTGTAGAAGCTAGCTCAGAATGTGGGAAGGTGATGGTGTGAAAATATTAATATTTGACTACAACATCTCCAATCTTGTCCTAGAGAGAAAGTATTCCCTGATTTACACTAGGCATGGAAAGCTTCATGAAACAGCTACTGCCACTTTCCTGGGGAGCTTTTTTCTGATCTCCAGCTGGATCTCTCACATGGACCTATCCCTCCAGGAAATAGACTGATCTGGTAGAATCTAGTGAACTCTTATTGAGCAGAGAAAAGGGTAGATTTAAGGATTGGGTCAGTTTTCTCAGGAAACTTGCTCATTCATAATGAGGACAATGACAAGGATCTAGACCTCCAGGGCTAAGCTTCGAGGGAGCTGGGTATGAAAAGTTTCTGTGGTCCTGCAGCTGGAGCCCTGCAAGGTGGCTGGCCCTGAGCAATGGGGGAGAGAGCAATGTGGAAGAGAGTTCTGAAGCCCCTGAGACATGGCAACCTTTGGTCTCAGCTCCCCTAAATCCCCTTCTTTTAAGCCTGGCCTTTTGTGAATCCTGTCACCCTAACACATCACCACGGTGGGCATCTGGATTCCCATGAAAGACTCTTCTGTTGATGGTGCCTGTGTTCCCATCCTCTCACCTAACTAATCTCTCAAAACCTGTCTTGGATTCAAATTCCTACTGCTTTAGTTACCCCAAGTCTGACTTGGGGTCCTTTTGTTCTTTACCATGATGCCCACTGCCTAGCCAAATGAGACCAATTTGGATCCATCTCCCCCTCTACACTAAATTTGCTGGATGGAAACCACACACCCATCTAATCACAAAACCCAGGCTCTCTTATCTGGTGGGAATGACTGATTACAAAAAGACATTTTCATATACCTGGGGATCAGCATCTTTCTCTGGCATTGGACCAAAATGATTGAGTATCCGGTTCTTCAGAGATGATTTGAGGGAATGGAACCATGATGACGCTTGCTCATAGACACAGCTATGTAATCCCATGAGCTCAGCATAATCCTCTCCTTGAACCTGAAAGTACCAAAGTGGAATGAAGCATTCTGTACCTTCTCCATCACACCTAGAACCCTTTTTGACACGTGGCTCTTTGAGCATCCATCCTGCCACCCTCTGGGAAGGCTCACCCTTATGGCTGTCTGCTGTGTGATGTGTGAAAGGCTCTTCAGCTGGATGATGGACTGTGTGGAAATACTGCTGAAGGTGGTGGACTGGAGAAAGGTTCAGCTGGGTAAATGAGCTGAAACAGCCAGACATATAGAAAACTAGTGATGCAAACTGGCCTGAGTGGATGTGTGCTGTTCAACTAGGTTGTGCTGGTTCACATCTCTCTCCTTTTCATTTTTGACATCTGCTTTCCCAATGCTCCCTGGGAAGAGGGACATGAATGTGTATGTGTCTCAGTGTGTAACTCTATCTTCCAAGGCAAATACAGTTATTCATTGAGCAAATGTTTGTTACTCTTGTACTATGTAGTGAATGTAAATATCAATGATTATGGGATAATTTACCTCTTCTTCTACCCATTAATTCAGAAAACCCAGGATTAACTGGACATGTCCTCTTTCTCCCTTATGGGATGATGGATTATCGGGAAGGGCTCTTGGCCAGGTTGCATGTTTAAAAATAAAAATGTTAATGTGAATCCACAATTATCTCAAAAGCAAAAGTTGTAAAAGATAAATAAATCAAAAAATCAAATATATATATGTAGATCCAGCTCCAGATCTTGATATCCCTGGCAGAGACCCAATTCCAGTGCTGAATGGGCGGCAGGGTTGATCTGGCTTGGCACCTCTCATGCACAGATACAACTCAGCAACTAAGCAGGGGAAGGCTGGACACTGGGCTGTGCGCTGCTCTTCCACAATTGAACTGCAACCCGGCGGCATTCAATGTGGCTGCAGCAGATGGGGAAGAAATCCCCAGGCTCCCATCAGTGCCGAGAAATCCTCCTGCAATCATCTTGATCTGCCAAGCTACATGGTGAGCCTGGCCTCAGAATTCTTGGCACTGGCCACCCTCACCTTTTGGTCTTCAATGTATTCGATGTCAGCTGTGTTGTAACCATCCCGCTGGCCCTGATGGAGGACCCTGAAGCGCCTCTTGCCTATGCTGTCGACCACTGAGCGGCCATCAGCAAAGAACTGAACATTTCTGATCTCTAGGATGCAGCCATATTCCGCAAACCTGTTTAGAAGGAATGGAGTTAAGTAAATTCTTGATAAACTGTTTCCCTGACCCGATATCCCTGCTCCATCTCTATAGCCCCATGTTGTGCCTTGAGGGACTTCTGCCTTCTTGTCTGTCCCAGGGTCTATGGCTGCAATAACACCACAGGCAATGCTTGTGTGAAAACTCATCTTAATGTGTAACCGTTACCATTTATTGTACTGTACTCAGTACTTTATGTGCATTATTAACTCCCCAATCCTTCCAACAAACCAGAGAAGTAGGCACTATTATTGCACCCATCCTACAGATAAGGAAACTGAGTCACAGAAAGGTTGAGTTATTTGCCCGAAGTCAAACTTCCTCCAAGGCTGGAGCCAGAATATGAACCCAGGCAGTTTGATTCCAGGGCCCACACTCTTATAAAACAAGTTTTAGAATATGTATCAACCATTTAACAAAAGGTTGATCCTGGAGTGCCTTTAAATAGGCAGCCTCTCACACGCTAAATCTAGGGGCCAGAGGGACCCTGATCCTTACAAACGCACCTGGAAGAGCCCCGAGGTAAAACCACAAATCTTTTCTACCCAACCTCCCTTGACGCACCTAACTCCTCGCTTACCCTTTGACAGGATCTCCAAGGCACATGCCAAACTGTCGTGTGCCTGTCTCAATGCATCTACGGATCATCAGACGGTAGCAAGGCTCAAAGATGTGCAGGGGACAAGGAACCGTGGGGTAGGCCATGGTGCACACGAAAATAGGCACGTTCTTATTTAAGCTGTCAGGAAGAGCAAATGACATGGATCTCACAGCATGGGAGCAGAACAGAGAAAGGCTGGTCGAATTTCACCATGTGGATCCCCCACAGGAAGACAAGGAGGCATACAGTGTGGACGGCTCATAAAAAAATAGTAAAATACATCTGATGCTGTGGGCTGAGTCCCATTACCTGATGCATAGGTTAGCCTAAGGGCTATGATTAAAATGGACATTCTATACATTCTAATTTGGGTAATGAAGTTCTCTAGTACCTTAACATTGTTGATGATAGTTATGCCTCATATTTTTCTTTCTTTCATACTCTCCCCTCCAAACAATCTCTCCAGGTGTCTTGCTGGCAGTATGGGGAAGGGCACTGGTGGTAAAAGTGGACCCAGCTCTCCAGAGCGATGGTGGGAAAATCTCTGCAAGATCCCTGTGAGTAGCTCCCATTTGCAAAGCTCCCAGAGGATGTGCATGGCAGGCCCAGCTGGGAGGAGGGAGCAGTAGAGAGGCAAGAGTAATAGAGCCCAGTGATGCTCAAATGCTCCTGTGCATTGGAGTCACTGGAGGCCCTTAAACACAGACAACCTGGCCACTGCACCTCGCCCTCCCAGAGACACTGGTGCAGTGGCTCTGAAATCAAGACCTACAAGTCTGTCTCGCAATGTGTGGCCATGAAGATTCAGACACACAGCCTGATGGGGAACCACCAACCAGGCCAGCTCATCCCGATCACAGTTCTCTGTTTGTCTAGTAAATCCAGCACAGGGACATCTGAACCCAAACCTGCCAACAAATATCAGACTGTTTGCCCAAATCTCAAAAGGATTAAATGTGATTCCCCTAAAGGAATATCCCCAGTAAATTCCAGTGTTTATTAATAAGACATTAAACAATTCGTGAGAAGAGGGTTCAGAAAGATTCAAGGTGAACTTAATATCAGAAAGAAAGATAAAGACTCCTGCAGTAAATCTAATATGTCAATGAGAAAAGAAGGACTGCACTTCTGGCTTCCCAGGAAAACATGTTAGTCAAAGGGAGAGGTGCAAACAAACTGGTTTCAGTTTAACACTGTTTTCTATGGGGTGGGCATAAAACCAGAACAGCCCCCTCAGGAGCTTTACCCTCAGAACGCTGTAAGAATTCCACTGGGAATGGGAGATGAGAGGGCAGCAGTATGAGAGGCAGAAATTAGTGACTTCCCCCGCTTTTTCTGCTACCTGAGGTGGAGAGTTTGGAGCCCTACTTCCATCTCACCCCTACTTGCCACCTCTCACAACACCTGTGATGGAAGAGGAATCATAATAACCAGAAGCATTCTTACCATTACTTTTATTAAGTGCTTACTCTGCACTAGCTCATTTGAGCTTCATAATGAGTCCTTGAGGTAGAAACTACTGTTATCCCCAAGTTACAGATGAGGAAACTGAGGTCCAGAGACATTAAGTGACTTGCCTAAGGTCATGAAGTCTACTCACTTTGTGGCAAAACTGTGTCACAAGCCCAGGTCTGACTGATATCAAAGTTCTTAACCTCATAGAACCTCCTTATGTATCTGAAGACTGTCTTCAGAGTACAGCTGAGCCTTGAACAACTCGGGGGTTACAGGGACTGACCCTCTGCACAGCTGAAAATCAGCATGTGACTTAGAGCCAGTCCTCTTTATCCATGCTTCCCTGGTGGCTCAGCTGGTAAAGAATCTACCCACAATGCAGGAGACCTGGGTTCAAGCCCTGGGTTGGGAAGATCCCCTGGAGAAGGGAATGGCTACCCACTCCAGTATTCTGGCCTGGAGAATGCCACAGACTGTATAGTCCATGGGGTCGGAAAGAGTTGGACACAACTGAGTGGCTTTCACCTTCATTGATTTTTATCTATGGTTCAGCATCTGTGGATCTGACCAACCACACATTGCATCATGTAGTACTACAGTATTTACTACTGAAAAAAATCCACATATAAGTGGAACTGCACGATTCAAATCCATGTTGTTTAAGGATCAACTCTACTTCATTCAGTTCCCCTGATAACTTATTCCAATCTAATCCTGCCCATGACACCCAGCTACTAGCGCCAATAACCTGGTCAGTGGTTTGACTTAAGCTTTTTCAGTAGTAAGCTGGTAAATGAACAATCGGCTTTCTAGGGGTGGGGAGGGGAAGTCCTTGTTACTGCATTTGCCAATTTTCACGGTGTCAACACTCTCACTGTGGCCAATTTCAAGCTATCAGCATGGTATCATTAAATGGGGAAGATATGTGCACTTTCAGTTCTATGAGCTGGCGTGAATGAAACTGAAAACAGCAGTGTGCATACTTAGAAAGTTCTTCCATTTCCTCTTCATAAAGTCTCCTTCGTTCCTTGAGTTCTTCTGGAAGGAATTTAGCTATTAGCTCTTCCATTATGACGTTTTTGCTGTACTTTCTTGATGCCAAGCACTACATGGGGAACAAGGCAGTTAGATATTATACAGTCATCAGAGAAATACAAAGCTCTTCTGATGTAATCAGTAGAACAGTTCAATGACCAACATACTGGAGTAATGTGGACCGACACATTGGCAGCTCATATGATCATAATGTATATAATCTCTGGAGGTTAGAGTTTACCTTAAAAAAAAAACACATGCAATGAATTACTTTTGTAATTAGAAAAAAATATTTTAACAAGGAAAAACACCTGCATTGAAGTTTTAAAAATGCCATAGCCTTCCTAAAACACTGAAATTTATTATGATCATGTTTCTTGTCAATTAAGGGAGACAATCCTTTCCTTTTTCTGATTATTGTGTTTATAAGCTCCCAGAATGTTCTCCACCTGAAACAAACGTTTCAGGGAACTAAAAAGCAATTCTAAAATCATTCATCCTTTCCTGCCCTGCCACACTCTCAGTGCTTGGCTTCTGGATATTTTGAGTCTATATAACTATTTTTCTCCTCTAACTTAAGTATTTTTAAAATAAACTAAATACTGGTGATTTCATTTACCTATTTATTTTTTTTATTATAACATCTAGATATCACTGAATTTACATTATAAACCCTGATTTCAGAATCTAACTCAGGCTCAACTGTCAGTATTACTCTCATCCCAAACACCCCTAGTTTGTGCATATCCAAGGAACTGTAAGGAGTGGGTGTTTAACGGCAAGAACCAGACAATGGGGATGACAACATCTGCAGAGAATTGCTGGTTATGGAAACTACCCACACAGACCCAGCAGGGGGAGCTCCTGAGTATAAAACTGCAGGCTTCAGACATTTTTCCTTTGCCAACGTCTATCTATTCCGCAGTGAACATGATCGGAATAAGATATTTCTCTCTCTGGAAAATGGTGCAAGTGTGACCCCAGGTGAATACCCAGAGACAGGTGGAAATAACTTCTAGCCCCTAAGTCCAGGACCCCACAGCCTCTGCTTCCAGGATGCCTTCTTAGCCACTGCCATTGCCTGGCTGCAAGAAAATCAGAGGCTTGCCCAGTCTTTGGGAGAAAGCAATGGCTCAGAAGGTAGCCTATCCAAGAAGGAGGTGAACCTCTGCTGATGCTAAAACAAAAACCCAGGAAAGGCACATATTAAAATGTCAACAGTAGATTTTCCTTCTTTCTGCTGTTCTGAATGTTGTAATGTTCCCACAACACGAATGCATTATTTAAGTGTAACGGCCATGGGCTTCTCACCTACAATCAGGAAAGCAATCCCATCTTTACCCAGGCCAGACATGACACTGACCATTCCCCCAGCCCAGCACCCTCAGGGCTATCCTGAGTGATTATCTCACTTCCTTCCCTTAGTTTAAATGGTGGGGTGCTGGGAAAGTTCAACATGTGACTTCTCTGGATCTACATTCACCAAGAGAGAGTCTTGCATCATCTCCAGCCTCTCCTCAGGGATGACAGGGGTCAAGGAACATGAATACTAATTGTAAAATGTGGCAAACAAGCCCCTAGCAGGGAGAGAGGGGGTGACAAGATGGATTGCTGGATCTTCTTGTGCTATAGAAAATTACAGCAAAGCCACTTGAAAAGCACAGGAGGCTGTTTGTGTGATTCATTTTAGAGGACCTGGAAGCCCCAGAGATTTTCAAGCAGACAAATACCTGCTAATAATAACAGAGGCAGTTGAGGAGAGGGACAAGGACCATAATGTAGGGCTGTGAGGTTTTCCTGGGGACCTGGGGGTGATCTCTTCAAACTATGGAATAAACATTGATGATAACGGAACACTGGAGCTCATAGATGAATGAGCCAAGGCCAGTGAATCAGAGGCCATGATAGGATTAGAACCAAGATCCATGTTTATCATCAATTTGATCCATGTTTATCACTATTGTGATTCATGTTTACTATCATTTTGATACTTTTGTTTCCAACACAGATTGATCTCACTGCTAGCAGTTCATAAAAAGCTAGCTGTTGCCTCATTTCCCTGGAGGACTTTGTGGAGAAAGGAGGGGTGGCTCTAAGACAGGAGAAATTGATGGTCTGAGGGGGTGTTTTGCTCTAGCACAGTGCAGTGGCTTGGGATCCAATAGGATACTGTCTTCGAACCCAATTCCAAATAAGCTAAACTGATCAAGAAAGAAACAACGTTTTACCTGGGAAAGACCGTCTTTGCACAGTGGACACTTCGCATTGTGATCTAGACATCTTTCAAGGCATTTTAAGCAAAAGGTGTGCCCACAGGGTGTTGTGACTGGTTCGTAGAATAATCTGAAATTTAGGAATCAAAATGGAAGAAAATTGCAATCAGAACAAACATAAAAGACAGAGCTATTGAATGTTAAGGTTTTTACAGTATTATTTGAGAAAGTCTATGTGTGGGAGTAAGAGGGGGGTTCTTTTTCCTTTTTAAAAAACAATCCCTTACACTTTAGAAAACCATTTGCTTTTTATTTCTGAGCTGGATTTAAATGCATCAAATAATGCATTTATTAAAATTTAGGGCATAGCTAGATCATTTTATAACATTAGTTCTAGTCAGTCTCTTCCAGAGCATCCAGATTTTTTCCCTGTCAGGTCCCAGAAAAATGAAGATGAATGCCCAGAGTGTCTGGTTAGATTCCATTCTAAAATACTTAGCCAACCTGTTCACCTGAATATACATAAACACATAGATAAACAGACACAGAGATAAATACACACACTCCCATATTTAAGCACTTTATATAATATTAAATGGAAAAAGACTAGGTTTATTTGCTAATCTTGATTCTATTTTTCATCTAAACAATGTACACAGTCTGAAGGATCTCTAAATTGCACCTGTAACAAACATACTGCCTTTTTACATGGATGGATCATTTGCCCAGGGGCAGTAGAGTAATATTATTACTGTGCTTATTAATAGACAGACACATACATAGATACATGTGTATACATACACATTCTCTAATTAGATCCTGTTTTAATTGCTTTGCAGGAACTGGCTATTTTTTTCAAAGCAATCTGAGCCTCTTTTAAAAAGCTGTTCTGTACATTCAGAGATTCATGGATTTATTTTGCTTAATGAAAGTCTCACCTGCAGCAGGACCACTGGATGGAGGCAGCTGAAGATGATGCTTCAGAAGTGGAGCTCGCACTCTCCAAGAGGACAGAAAGAAGGGAAAGACGCCAGAACAGCCTATTTTGACCTCACTAGAGTGTTCAGTTGAGAGGAAGAGGCTGCAAGCTGCACAGCCCCCTCGTGTGGCCAGGAGGTGCACCAGCAGCCTGGGCCACACAGCCAGGCGAGCAAAAGAATCAAAACATCAGAGCTGAAAAGTACTTAAGAAAACATCGAGCCCACCAGCCAGAATGAAACAGATCCAGAATGAATGAAGTCGCTGATCTAAGAGTACACAGCCAACTGTTGTCAGATGAAAGTCTTTCCAACTTCCCCTCCCAGCCGTGTGCCTGTTGTATTAGAACAATGATTCTCAACTGTTGCTGTGTTCGAGAATCATGTGGATTGTTTTTTCTTTAAGTAGTTTTTTAGATATATTATTGACATGCAATAAATTGCACATACATAAAGTGTAAAATTTTATAAGTGTTGACACATGTACACACCTATGAAACCATCTTCAAGATCAAGATAATCAAAATACTTGTCATCCCCAAATGTCTCCTTGTGTCTCTGGGCAAACCCTCCCTCTTGCTCCTCCCTAGACCACCCTCCCCCATCACCTGGGGAACTTTTAAAAACTAAAGAGGCTGGACCTCACCTACAGAGATTCAGATCAGTTGGTCCAGGGTAAGAGCCAGGCATCAGGATTTTTAAAGCTCCCTTGGTGATTTTAATGTGCAGCCAGAGTTGGGAGTCACTGAATTTCACAATCCTACTAACCTCTGCATGGACAAATCTCCATTGGTATCTAAACCTAATTATCAGAGTCCCCGGTGGAACTTTAAAAACACAGACATGGCAAAGTCTCACTGGACAAAGTTTGCAATTCAGGAGATTTGTTATTTTTGACAAGCCAATGAAGGTCTGGACCTGGGAAGAAGTTTTTCATATATTTACTGTTTTCTACTTTTTAAATGTTATCAAGGTATTTAAAAAGTAGTTAATGTGTCTAACTGAGTTAATAAGTTTTAGTTACTAAATTGACCAAAAAGTAAAATTTGTTTTCAAAAAAACTCTTTAATGGAGGTCCTAACCAGTGTACTAAGGCAAGGGATAAAAAAGTCTGAAGACTGAAAAGGAAAAAAAAAAACAAAGCTGTTGTTATTCATAAATGGTATGATGATGAACTTAGAAAATCCAAAAGAATCTTAGAATGATTATTAGAATTAATAGGAATTGAGATAATTAGCAAGAATGCTAGACACACACACACACACACACACAACTGTAGTTCTACATACCAACAAGAAGAGTGAGAGAATACATTTTTTTAAAGATGACATTAACAATTGCTTTTGAAAATCAAGTGCCCATGAGTGAAGTCAGACAAAGACAAATATAATATGGAATAGCTTAAATGTGGAATCTAAAAAAAAAGTAGAAATGAACTTATTTAAAAAACAGAAATAGAGTCACAGACATAGAAAACAAAATTATGGTTACTGGGGGTAAGGTGGGGAGGGAGATTCGGATTGACATATACATACTACTATATACAAAATTGATAACTAATAAGGACCTACTGGGCGCTTCCCAGGTGGCACTAGTGGTAAAGAACCCACTTGCCAATGCAGAAGATGGAGGAGACACGAGTTCTATCCCTGGGTCAGGAAGATCCCCTGGAGGGGTGGCAACCCACTCCAGTATTCTTGCCTGGAGAATCCCATGGACAGAGGAGCCTGACGGGCTACAGTTCACAGGGTCACAAAGAGTCGTACACGACTGAAGCGACTTAGCACACAGCATACAAGGACCTACTGTATAGCAGAGGGAACTCTACTTAATACTCTAGAATGGCCTATATGGGAAAAGAATTTTTAAAAATGGATATATGTATACGTATGACAGATCCACTTCGCTGTTGAAGTTAACGTAACATTGTAAATCAACTATGCTCCAATAAAAATCTGTTTAAAAAGACAACAAAAAAATGAAAAAGAAAATCAAGTGCCCAGGAATAAATCTAACAAAAGTTTGAGACCACTATTGTAAGAAACTGCAAACATTTCATTGAAAGTAAAAGAAGACCTAACTAAGTCCCAGTGAAAGACCCCAATGGGTTATTTCACTTGTTTGTTTGTTTTTGTGGAACTTGGCAAGTTGATTTCTAAACTTCAAAAGGCAAGGCAAAATGCCAAGAAGAGCCAAGACAATTTTGAAGAGCAGCAACGTGGGAGAACTTGCTCTACCAGACATGAGAATTTATTATAAAACAGTACTGATTGAAAAGCAGTAAGACTAGCACAGGAACAAACAGATCCGTAGAATAGAATACAAAACCCAGAAATAGATTCAGACCCAGATTCTTGATTTTTTAAAATGTGGCACTTCAACACAGAAAGAAGATTTTCCACACATAAATAGAATCCTCAATAAATGCTATTTGGGATACTTGGCTATCCACAGGGGGCAAAGAAGTTGGACTGATTCTCACACCATACACAAAAAGCAACACCATGTGGACTGTAAAAATGAATGTGAAAGACAAAGAGTAAAGCTCTTAGAAGACAAGATAGAATATCTGTATGACCTCAAGGGGGAGAAAAGATTTCCTAAACAACACATACACACACACACAAAACACTAACTGTAAATGAAAAGATTGATCATTGTTGCCATATTAAATTTAAGAACTTGTTAGTGTATTGAAAGATGCCATTAAGAGACCTTTCATATTGAAAAATGTCTTTATTTAATAAGCCTCACAGAATGACTTTCTTCCTTAAATTATGTGCATGTACAACTTTGATAAAAATTTAAAAACCAAATTAAAAATTAAAGGCCATTAACAGGGGAAAAAAAAAAGAAAGGTGCCATTAAGAGAGCAAAAAGGCAAGTCACGGAGTGGGAGAAGATATTTGCAACACAGGTGACTAACAAAGGATTTGCATTTAGAACATACATAGAGCTCCTACAAGTCAGTGAGAAAAAGAGAGACAACCCAATTGAAAATGGGGAGAGTTATATATATACTTCCTTGGTGGCTTCAATGCGGGAGACCCGGGTTCGATCCCTGGTTGGGAAGATTCCCTGGAGAAGGGAATGGCTACCCACTCCAGTATTCTTGCCTGGAGAATTCCACGGACAGAGGAGCCTGGCAGGCTGCAGTCCATGGGTTCACAAAGAGTCAGACACGACTGAACAACTAACACACACATATATACACTAGTAGACATAAAAACTGTTCATAGTAACATTGTCTGTAATAGCCCTAAACTAGAAACAATCCAAATAGCCATCTAGAATATAACTGATTTTGTTAGATTCATACAATGGGACACTATACACTAGTGAAAATGAACAAATTTCACCAACATGCAATAACATGGATAAATCTTCATCCCGAGGAAAAGAAGTTACAACAAAAGAATCCATTCTGAATAATTCAACTTACATTAAGTATTTTTAAACAGGAAAAAATGAAATTGTACTGTTCAGAGATACATACAAGAGTGGTAAGACTTTTTTTGAAAAAAAAAAAAGAAGAGATAAAAGTCAAGATAGTGATTTTAGGGGCAGTTGGGGGGGTGGTGATGTAGCAATGACATATGGGCAGCTTCCAGAGTCCTGGTAACTAACGTTTTCTTTCTTGGGCTGAAAGGGATTGCATGAGTAGCCTCTTTACAGTATTTTATGAGAATCCATTCCTATTTTTATGTACTTTCCCACTGTGTCTATTTCACAATTTAAAGTATTTCTCAAGATTGTGACTTGCAGGCTGACTTTGTGAACCACTGCTGTGATCTAACTACTAGAGGCAGCCAAGACAGACGATCTCATTTCCTCAGTAATTTGAGACCTGTGAATCTGAATGCCTTTTATGCATTATTCGATGACACTAATGATGAAGACTGATTGATGAACCTGTATCTGTAAAACTATTTTTCTTGAGCATTTCAAAATTGGGCCTTTTGTTCACTGAAGAATGTAATTCACATACAAATAATAATGATATAGTTGGCCAATTAATTGCAATAAATACTGACATTTAATGAGCAGATGAATGTAGCAGACACAAAAGGATCAGCAACTCTTAGCAAGAGCTATGATTAAAATGCCCCTGATCCGAGTGGCCACAAACAAGAATGCTGCCACAGATGCTGCATAATTATTGCTCTGAAATAATTCAAGGTTCAGATGCTTAGAATATATCATCTTTCAATACTCAACCCACTTCTATTCAGGCTGACTGAGTAAAGAGACTGGGAACAGATGGAATGCATTTCTCTTGCTATCAGGAATGTGTGCATTGCTGTTTTTCATATAAATTAGCTTTATATAGTCATAGGCAGTAATTAATTGGATTAGCTCTATTTTACTATGGAGGAAATTGGCTCAGGCAAGTTAAATAACTTGCCCAAGGCCACACAGCTAGCTAGTAAATAGCAGCACTTGGGATGTGAAGTCACACGTGATTCTCAAGCCCATCTTCCTTCTCCACTAGATGACACAGAGATGACTGTGTGTGAATCTAGATCTTGAAACAAGCACCATCCATGTACATGTAGATACACACACTCACACACAAACACACCCTTTTCTCCCTCTCTCTCTGTCTCTCTCCCTTCCCTTCCCCACCACCAGAGAGAGCGAGAGAGAAACTCCATATATAGAGAGATAGAGTTAGAAATAGATATATACTCAAATTCCTCTCCCTTTTATTTATCACTTTAGGAATGATTTCAGAAAACACTTCAGGGAGGCATTTATAAATCAGTGTAGGGCCAGATTTTCTCACAAGAAAGCATTTTACATTGTCAGGGTGATGGAGTAAACAATAGTAATAATAAATGCTTTCAGTTAGATGTCAGCCTGGATAAAATGTTTGGCTTGTCTGGAAATAGCTATCTTTTCCCACCAGTTACATCCTTGTATTGTGCTCTTGTGTGGCTATCAAATGAGAGCAAAGGGGGAACAAGGAGGAGGGAGGGGGTGGAGGGAGAGAGAGCGAGCAGTGAACTGACTCCATAACACCAGCTACGTGAGCAGCTCAAACTAGGTTAAATATAAAGCTTTTCATTTCAATGGACAAAGGGGCCACTGGGCCATTAGGTAACTGGTTCAAATATCCAACATTCCTGCTCCACAGTGGGCCCAGAGGTGACCCCAGGGCAAGGGTATTAGGAGCAGGTAAATCTCAAGGGAGGACTGGCAGTCATTAAAGACGGAGGAGGAGAGTTCTGAGGTGTTGGAATCAGAGAGCAACTTCCCCCAGCAGACCTTGTTCCGTCCTTCCAGCAAGGGGGGCTCGGAGACTGGGAAGTTTCTCATTAGCTCACCCTCCAACGGTTGTTCCGTTCACTCTTTCCACCATTTTCCCCTGAGGAGTTTATAAGCAGCTCCTGATTTTCTCTCTAGACTCAGAACAGATCAATTCCTACTCTAACTCGTCTTCAACCCAGACAGCATCACGGCACTGGATTTTATTCTTGGAACCTGCACAGGAGGTACACATGTGTAGTTTCATGACCTGGCAGATTGTTTGAAAATATCTCTCACCATAAACCCTCTCCACCAAAGACACAGGACAGTCATGACAGAACCTAAGAATAATTCTAATCATGATTAGAAAAATAAAAACACTACAGGAAACAGGAACTTTTTCAAGACTGCAATAATTCAAACTAAAGCATGTATCTGAAATGGCCTCTGTCAACATGTGATTTCTGACTTGGAGACAAGCCCTGCTGGAAGGGGAACCACATGTTTCTGAACTAGAGCTCCAGTTTTAAGAGCCTTGAGATCAGAAATGTTCTCCAGACTTGGCAGGTTTCTTTTCACCATCAAGCAGCTCCCGAGTGTCCCCAGTGTAACTCAGCAGCCCATACAATAGCTGCTCCAGGCAAAGATGGGTTTTTGCTTTGAAGTCTCATTTAGAACAGAGGGGCAGGATAAGGGAAATAATGGCTTTTCAACTCAGAACGAGCAAACTCGAAGGGGGTCTTATCCTCTTGGTGTTTATTTCTTGGACCAAATTTCTAACCCTTCTCTGAAGCCCCCCGTTGAGATCAGGGACAAACAAGATGAAAGGGAGAAAGCAGACAAAAGGGAACAAAAGAATTTCAACCTCAGAATTCTTAGCCCTCAGGGAAAACACAAACAGGATGAGTCTTTGTGTTTGATTTAGCATCCCCGGGATGTAGGGAGGTGTGTCCAGGAGGATAAGCTGAATCAAGTCTATCAAAGTCTGACATCTGAAAGACCCTGGCTCTCATCGCTGGCTGAGCACCATGATGGCGTTACCTGTGGGGGCCCATGTCTCAGCTTGGAAAGCAGAGCTTGTCTGTCTCACACTTTGGCTCTGGCTTGACCCACCTGCTACATCGTTGTGAGGGGGAGGGGGCACAAGGGACCGGGTTATACAGGCAGTCCCACCCTCACCCACTCCACCTAGAACTCTGACAGTATATGCAGGGCTTGCTTCAAGTGCTGCTACATTCCTTATCAAGTCTGTCTGAGCTTACAGGCAAATCTGACAATTCTTTTTTTTTTTTTTTTTGAGAGAGAGAGAAAGTACGTTGTTCAGGTAACAGCTGCCTCACTCACTTTTATTCAGAGGACAAGAAAAGTCACTTTGAGCAGTGACAAACGCCTGGGATTGACATGGAAGGCATATGTACTCGTAAAGGGCAAGAAGACATCTGAGGGGCCTCCGTTGGCTGCATCCATCTGTGTGATGGACCAAAAGATTTTTCTTGACATCTCTTGTCTTGGTTCAGCCATCTTAACAAATTTTGTGCAAATATCTCAGCCTCCTTTTAAAGCTCTTTTGCCAAGGGGAAGGCACATTTGAGAATCTACTGACAGCTGTGGACTTTGTCCTGGAAATCTCTCTCTCTCTCTCTCATACACACACACATACTTTTACATATAACATCAGGGAATTCATAGATCTACTAGAATCCATACACAGAGCCCCCTTAGGGGTCAATGGACCTAAAGCTAAAGAACCTCTGTCTAGGGGAAAAAGTTAACATTTATTGAGTACTTATGTCAGGCACTATTCTAAGTGTCTCAAATAGATTTTCTCAATTAATCATAACAACACCATAGAACAGGTACCACTGTCCTCCATTTTACTGATGAGGATGAAAACACAGTGGTGGAGAAAGTCACTTTCTCCAGGTCAAACAGCCAGTAAGTGGCACAGCCTGGGTGGAAACCCAGGCCATCTGTTTTAGGAGACCTCCTCTTAGGCACAAAGCCGCGGTTGTGAAATGAAACAAGTGAAAGTCATTTGTTTTTGCAGACCAGGACTGTAGCAGTTTCCTATTTGTTTATGTTGCGGGGTGGGGGGAGGCATGTGTCTCCAGAGATCTGAGAAAGTAGAGACAATGTGGCAGTGGGTGGAGGAGAGACCCCTAGCCAAGTCGTACATGCCCACTACTGACTACTGCACAGGCAGGTACAGACCAAAAATGAGTCCAGCCCTCTCCTTGGCTTCCAGAGAATAGGCCTGTGAGGCTGACACTGGCACTCACGCTTTGAGATCTTGATCTAGTAGCCAGCAGATATTAGTTCCAGGGTCCCAAACATAAAGAGAAGCCAGGAAAGTGATGTAAATGTGAGAGTGAGGGGGGCCATGACCAACTGGCCTGGCCCTGTGAGTGTCCTGTCTCTAAACATTCACCTTAACAACAATCCCCCAAATCCCATGAGGGCCAAACAAAAGACATCCAGCCTGGGGACTGTCAGTTTGACCTCTGAGTAGACAGTTTCCTTCCTGCTTTCTAGGTATTTCCAAGGCAGGAGTGTGGGGCATGTGATCTGTAAACAAGGGACACAAGCTCGCCCATGTGACAGTCAACGTGACTTCCATTTTGTTAGAACCACGCTTTTCTGTGCTAACCAACCAAGCCATAGGTCACTAGCGGAGAGGTGCAGACACCAGAGGGGAAGACCTCTCGGGCAGTAAGTGACAGGACACCTCACATACCTCATACAGAGGGAGCATTCAAGGTCAGAGGCGTCAAAAGAAGCCAGCGGGACGCTGAGCGCAGGCCTGGCCCTGGGGTCAGTGGAAGGATCTGTGATGTAGAGAGCAGAAGTCAGAGGGGAACCAACCTTGGTGTCACAAGACAGCAGTTCTAAGGCCAAAGAATCCAATTATGTTTTTCAGTCGGCTACTCTCATCACCTCCCCAAGAATTGATTTAGTGACCAGGTGAGTCACTGAGAGTGGGGTACCCTGATACAGGCACGTGGAGTGTTCCAGCAGCCCCAAAGAAAGAGACGTGTAGGTCAGGAATTGTCTGGGAGCCCTGGGGGGCTTCATTTAAATGGAACAGGCACCTCACTCTTGACAAACAGCTGCAGTGACTCCACGAACTGAGCCAGGCCTTCATAGCTGACACTGAATCTTGGCACTGGCAGCCACTTTTGGAAAGATACCAAGCTGCAGCTGCTGCTTCTCAGATGCCTACCTATGGGGACACAACTGGGAATGAGCAGGATGAGGCCTGATGGAGCTGCCCGTGTCCGGCCTCCCCGGAATGGGGAAGGGGGTGCAGAGAGGCTGGCCTGGAAGGAAATGACACCATCAAGGGCGTGAAATGTCGTTACTTGACGCCATGCTTGCCCATAAGCCCTGGCTTTCCCTTATAATTCATATGGGGCACCGGCAGGATGCTAGGAACTGCTTGCTCTCACAGAAACCCCACAGCCACCCTAGAAGTGGCAGAGCAGAGGAGCCATCATGTGGAGGGCAGGAGCCTCCACACACTGCTGAGCGCGGGCTCCTCTCCAAGCCCCCACCTCCCTGGGTAGAGTCTGCACCTGGCTTAGACGCTTTCTTAGGCCTCTCTGGGTCTTGGGGTTCAATTTGAAAGTGCTTCCTTTTCTTCTCCTGGCATTTGCCAGTCTTACTGGAGGCAGCTTGGGAAGAGGCAGCGACCCCCTTCTCCTCCTCCGCTCCAACCGAGTCTTCCGTGTGGTCCTGCGGCCCATCCCCTGTCACTGTGACCAGGTTCATCAGGCTGGCCCCCTGGCCCCTGGCTGCTGCTGCCTCCTGACTGGAACAATGTGGGCGCTCGGGCATTTCCTGGAGGAAGAAAGAGCCAAACATCAGAATCTACTGCGGCCCAACATCATGCTCTGATAATTGTCTCCAGAAGGGACGAGGAGAAAATACTGTCCGGTCCTGACCATCTAGAGGACAGGTAGCCTAACTGGGCGGCAGTCATAGGGCACAGAAGACCCAGCTGGGGCAGACTAAGGTGTACAGGGAGACAGTCCTTGGGCAGCAGTGAAGGCGACGTGCCAAGTGCATCACCGGTCTCCGCTCCTCTCCAGTCAGTCCCCAGTCACCACCTGAGGGACACCAATGCACGCAGTGCAGTGAGGGTAGATCCTGCCACTCGGCCCTTCCTCTCACCCTCACTGCCATTCCCAGCCATCTTCCAGTCCCACATCCAGCTTCCAAACAACTTTCAGGAAGGTTCTGGTGCAAGTGCACAGGCCTGCCGAGTGCCCTCACACTCCAGAGCTATGCTATACTGGTCAAAGGAACTAGGAACAAATGAATCCTTTCACTAGATTTTGGGCAAAGAGTCTGAAAAAGAGACACGATCATCTGGCAAAATGATCAATAACATCTCTAGCCTTTTCAAGAATTTTTGTCCAGGGGAAGGATCTAGAAGAAAAAATCCAATGACAAAGTGTTTATGCAGGTTTAGCTGGAAAATCCCTCTCTACTCTACAGTCAAAGTGCACGGGTCAAAATGCTCAGGTTGTTGTCTTTCCTCCAACTCCAACCAAAAAAAAAAAAACCTGGTAGATAGATGAAAAATGGGGAGCGCACAGCTGGGAGAAAATGATGAGGTGAGGAGGAAAAGGCTTTTCTGAGTCTCTAACCCAGGGAGTTCAGGGTTTTATCAGCACTATGGCACTGCTGCATCCTCACCTTTCCACGAGGCCTCGGCAGAGTCTACACAGTACAGTGCTTTGCAAGGCAAAGTTTGGGTAGAAACCCAGTCCTTACTCCTCAGCTTCCTCATACAAGAAAGACAGGGGTGCTTTTTTTCTTCATTTCTGATTGGGCTGCAATTAGAAGTCACTCCAGGCACTTGGGTTCTCAATCCTGTAATAATGATCTCAAAGAAGTACTGAAATGCAGATGGTGCTAGTGGTAAAGAACCCGCCTGCCAATGCAGGAGATGTAAGAGATGCGGGTTCAATCCCTGGGTCTGGAAGATGCCCAGGAGGAGGGCATGGCAACCCACTCCAGTATTCTTGCCTAGAGAATCCCACTGACAGAGAAGACTGGCTGGCTACAGTCCATAGGGTCGCAAAGAGTTGGACACGACTGAAGCGACTTAGCCCATAGTATTGCTTTGATTTCAGGATATACTCTAAGTTCTGCCCATCACCCCTCCAGCCTTTTTGAGTCAGGCACACCTGCATTTTGTTCATTCTCCAGAGCAGGGGAAGAAGTCAGGGAAATATAAGATTTTCATCTGTCAGAGAACCAAGAAGCCATGGAGACCCTAGGGCTCACACACAGGGGAGGAACACAGGGCAGGGATAGCAGGCAGGCAGATGCTTCGAGCTGCCTAGATCTTCAGAGCTCACCTCTGCCTATACATCTGTGCTTCTGAGCCCCAGCTTCTGCCCACCTGCCCTCTTCTTGGAAAGTTGGGGCCTGGAGACCATGGTTTTCGAAGACTCAAATCCCAGGAAGTTAACACTTCCTAAGTTGCTTCCATCTCCCCAGCTCTACCTATGTGCTGGAAGTCTACTTATGTGTAAGACACAGTGCAGGAATATGAAATGACCTCCACTTGGGGATCAAATGGAGATGTCTTTGCACAAGGAACTCAGCTGGTGCTCAAAGACCAGCAGCTTGAACAAACAAAAAGCAGGAAAGGAGGGACTGTCAGGTCCTCTTCCCAGGCTCTGCCCCTAAGCTCACCCCAACTGAATGGCTCCTGGGGAAGTGGGCCTTTCTAGTTCTGTCACCTCTCTCAACTTGACCTGATCAAGAACTGAAAATTGAACATAATAAATCATCAACCTGGGCCCCTGCCTGAAATTCAGTTTTATCTTTAAATAGCCTTTCAGCAAAGAAGACAGCCACTAGCAACTCCCATTTCTTCTTTCTCGGAAACCAAACAAAGTAGGAAGGTGAGGGCTCACTCTCCACGTCTGCCCACAAAACAGTCAAACGAAGCGTCAGGAGTGAGCTGGGTGAGTGGAGTTTTACCTGTGACAACTTTGGTAGATTATGGCTGGTGCCTTCAGTAGCCAATGATTCTACGTGTTCCTTTAATCTAGGGTGAGGTGCCAACAGCTTCAGTATATCGGGAGAATGTTCCTGAGAGGCCCCCGGGAATGATGGTGTAAAGAAACTAAGGAGAAGCTGGGACATAAAACAGAAGACTTCACTACTTAAGTTTCTACAGGTGCTGGGGTGAAGGGCAGGGGTGGGAGGGCAGGAAGGGACAAAGGGTACGGCTTGTGGGGCCAAACCCCAGGGAGGAAGCCTTGGACCAAAGACCCCAACACAGTGGAGCAAGGATCCTCCCTTCAGCTCGTCAGAATCACCTGGGAAGCTTATGAGAATTCCAGGTTCCAAGTTCCCACGCCTGGCTCCCCTGGGTCTGAAGTGTGGCCAGGAATCTGGATTTTGAAAAGGCACTACAGATCTGCCTTTGTCTCCCTAGCCAGTTACCACCACTCCGCTGCTACCCTTCCACAGAAAGATCTGCGGGGGGATTTCAAAATCTGTCTAGGAGGAAGGAGGCCGAGGAGAAGGCAGGAGACCAACATCAGCTGGGGGACCTGGAGTCGTGTCCGAGACGACCCCATGGGTAGAAGGCAACAAATGTCATCAAGGTTCCTCTGTATTTCTTCCCTCCCTGTCTGCCTGTTTTGCCTCTCCTCCCTGACCATCAGCCCTGGATCATGAATCCTTTCAGCAGCGATGTGTTAGCAAAAGCAGAACCAAGTCTTCCTCCCTCTTCTCCCAGCCTCTCTTCCTACTTTCTAGCCTTCACTTCCCAGAGAATGTCAAGTCACTTCAATGATTGGGGTGGGGATAGGGGGTGGCAGGCTGGTTCTAGTCTATGGTTGGCCTCCTTTGCAACTGGATAAGCTGGGGATGGGGGTGGGGCAGATACAAGATCCAGATCTTTGACTGGGAGTCAAAGATGCGTGATCTGGTGGAGGCTGCCCCATCAACCGCCCGCATCCTTGCTTTAGTTCTCTCCTGTGAAAGTGCCAATTATCTGTATACATAGGTATTTTTGTATGTAACATATAACCCAGGAAGGCAGGTCACTTGCTTCTAAAACATATTCACATGTTTTCTGCTGAGACCAACTAAAGGGTGCCCCACCCCTTCCTCTAGGTAGCAGGGTATTAACTGATCAGGAGAATCTGACCGAAACTGGGATCAAACTCTCTCCAGTTTGATTTCTTTCCTTACTGGGCCCCAGCAGTTCCTTCATGATGTTTCTTCTGATGCCAGCACTTTCCACGTGGCCAAGCCCTGCTCATCCTTCAAGGCTCAGCTCCAGGACTCCCTTCTCCTCTTCCTCCAGTCTCCCTAGTCTCTCCCATCCTTCCGTGTTCTCAACTGCACCAGAAGATAGTGCCTTACCCTCCCCAGTCTTGTGTTAGCCTCAAATTGCATTGCAAATGTAAGCCTTGCTCTCTAACCAGATGTTCAGTTTCTGGAGGGCACACGACTGATGTCCAATAAATACTCATCACACTGGATGGAACTGAGTTAAGACATTAGCCATCCTAGGGACCAGAGAGAGGCCCAAAGTCCCCAGATGACAGATGCCTCTGTTTCCTTCCAGTTCTAAGTTGGTACAGGAATGAGACAGGAGGTTTTCACACTGACCAGGGCTGTAAATGCCAGCTTTCAGAGACTCCTCCTTTGCTGGAGCCAAACTTGGCTCTCAGGGGCCTCTGAGTGACCCACCGGGAACCACCTCTGAAGCATTCCCCCTGGAATTCTCCCCAGAGAGCAGTAGCAAGCCATAGGGCACCCCTAGGTACAAGGATACGAGGGCAGAGTGTGGTGGGAGGGGAAGAGAGGCAGAGAGGGAAGCTCAAAGGAAACTAGACAAAGGAACAGCAGCACTGAGCTTCCTCCTCTGCTACCTAAGACCTCATTAAAGGCCTTCCCAGTGGCTTTGGAAAACAAAAGTTGGGGTCAACTCTCAGCGAAAATGAGCATTCCACATACCAATGGAAGTCAATTTCACTTCAGCGTCAGCTTTGAAAAGGCCCAAGTGGGTCAAGAAGTCCAAAAAGAATCTGAGGTAAAGACAAACGTTAAAAAGAAACCCAGGCCTGTAAATGACAAAGGCAGGTAATTCATGCCAAGTGAACCTGGACCATCTCTGTGACATCTTTATCCCTGGAAAGGGGAACAATCCAGCAAATAAGCACAGAGGGTCCTTGGCGTTCTTAACTAAGTGCCATGTCCTCACCTCACTCCATTGAAATTTGCCTCTAAGTTCTCACCCTAGCTTCAGAACTCTGGAACACTCATCACAGGCAAATGTTCGATCGTATTATCTGGCATTTATATTACATTATAGAACCAGTGCAAGAGTGTAAGGTCCTGGAGGACTGAGACTGTGGCTTATGCCTCTTTGGGTCTCCAGAGCTTAGCACAGTTCTTGCCCCATCCCATTAACGCAGCTGTGGAAATGACACTGCATGCATGCTTACATGCTAAGTCTTTTCAGTCGTGTCCAACTCTTCTCAATCCCATGGGCTGTAGCCTGTCAGGCTCCTCTGTCCATGGGATTCCCCAAGCAAGAATACTGGAGTGGGTTGTCATTTTCTCCTCCAGGGGATCTTCCCAACCCAGGGATCGAACCTCCATTTCCTGGCAGATTCTTTACCACTCAGCCACCTGGGAAATGATACTAGGTGGTCTATAAAGCGGGTGGGAAAGAGGATCAACCCAAATGACACCAAGAGCCTCTCAGGCCAACTGGGAAATGGACAAATGAGAGTAAAGAAATCACTCTCTCCCGGCTCCACACCTGCCTCTGTTGGCCTTTGCACACTCTCTTCTTCTAACCACCTTTGTCCATCCATCCCAGAACTGGATAATCCCACTGCTCCTCTCCCCCAGTCTCAGCAGTGGGTGCTGAGACTCCTGACTCGGCCTCCCAGGTCAGGAGGATAGTGGAGTAGCTCACAAGGCAGACTCTGGAAGCAGGAGGAGTCAGGTTTGGTTGCTCTTCCACCGATCATTAGATTCATGACCTCAGGAAAGGCACCAAGCCTCAGCTTCCTCATCTGTTTCATCTGTAACATAGGGATAAATGATACCTACTCTCATAGGGACATTGTGGAGATTTAATTATAGCTTCCCCATAAAGTCCACAGAATAGTGCCCAGTGCACAAGAAATGCTCAATAAATGTTAGCCATTATTACTATTATTACTCACACTGTGGACTACAGTTAAGATTTGGGGAAGGGTCCACAGCTTGGAGCAATTCTCTTCCACCAGTGCTCCTACTAACCAGCCCAAAGTAACTTCCCAGAAGCTCCAGTGCTCAGCTGCCCCTAGTTCAATGATTTTGCTGAAGATTCCTTTCGGCAGCCTTCAGAAACCAGTCCTGTCTCTTGCTCCCTTTCTTCATCCACTGCTCTGCCAAAGCACCCTGGGACAGAGACACCTGGGGCGCAGTGGTGAACAGGGGGTGGGGCACAAGCATAGCAGAAGTCCCCGCTGACTGTCAGCGTCCCATTTCCAGGCCAACGAGCCAGACACTGAGAGAGCACACTGCAGAACAATAAGCAATAAAGTCTATGAATTGAGGATGCTTGAGCATTCACTAATGTGCCCAGTATTTCATGCAGTTAAAAAAAAAAAAAAAAAAAAAAAACAATGACATTCTCCAGCAACTCAAGAGTTGGGATGACTGGATTATACTGTAATGGTCCCCAATTTATATCACAGATGTGTTTTATTTCTAGCAAAGAAGCTGAAGGTTGGAGTTCTGCATATGGCAGGGCAGATGGGACCCAACACCCCTTGTGAGGAGCTGGCCACCCTGTGTGGCTGGTGAAGCAGTGACTCAGCCCAAGGAAAGTTCTAAAACCACCTCATACCCGGGATCTCTGGCCAACAGCCAGAGTCTCCTCCGTGGGCCTCCATCTCCATGTTAGCTTATTTGGTTTTATTTTTTTGTTTGTATTCTTACTGACCACCCAGACCCTGAGTCAAAGAAACAAGCACATTCCTCAAAGGCTCCTACAGAAATGTAGGAACTGCTCAATCTGATTGTACATGCCAAAAGGATGGTGTTTCTGGATCATCAACTGGCACCTGTGTCTTGCTCCTGTCCCTTCAACCCAGGAAACCATCCACTCTGGACCCCCAACCCTAGGGAAGGCAGTTCCCTCACTCCCTGCCCTGGAGAGGACAGAGGGCTGGAAGCCCATTGGGCAGCTGGACCTGACGTCATCTCAACTCACCCTTTGGGCTTCAGCTCTTGCTCTTTTGTTCCTTCCATCAAGGGATACACAATATAGAAACTCTCTTAGCGCTTCCTCCACCTTGCCAAGGGTGGCTAAGGCTTGCGCTTTTCTGAAGTGTGCCTGAAAGAAAACATGAGCATTCAGTCCCATTCTTCTCTACCTTTTGACATTGCTATCATTCATAACATCAGCTAAATTACTTCCTGGGTGTTCACTGTCATGTGAGGGCTTTAAAAGGACTATCTTATCCACAACCTTATTGTGTAAGCCAGGGCTCTCCAACCCCTAGGCCACTGTACCAGTACCAGTCTGTGACCTGTTAGGACCTAGGCCACACATCAGGAGGTGAGCGGCAGGCAAGCAAGCAAAGCTTCATCCATATTTACAGCCATTCCCCATCACTTGCATTTCTGCCTGAGCTCCTCCTCTTGTCAGATCAATGGCAGCATAATAAATGCAGTGCACTTGAATCATCCCCAAACCATCTCCCCCCACACCCCCCCAACATCGGTGGAAAATTTGTCTCCCATGAAACCAGTCCCTGGTGCCAAATAGGTTGGGGACTGCTGGTGTAGGCAATTGTTCTGAAGCCCATTTTCAAGAAAATAAAACTGAGACCCAGAGAAGTGACTCGCCTGAAGTAATCTGGCTGGAAAATTGTGGAATCAGATTGAGAGCCTGGGAATGATTGATACAGAAGACCAGATTCACAACCACTGTGCCATACTACCACCACTGCCCACCCCCTGCCCCACCATTGTATTGGAGGAGGCATCAAACGTAGGAAGAACTCCCATTTGAGGTCACACTAACCAGCTTTCAGGACCTGCCTGGATGGGCCTTCCTGTTAACCAGTCTGTCAAGCAGAGACCTAATCCATGTTACTGGCTGAGTGACCACCCACACTCAGTGATCACTTATCAGAAGAGGCCCAAGTGAGCCAAGGCATGTGACCTCTCTAAGACCTTGAAGGCAGCTGGAACTAGCACTGGGAGCTTCCCCGCCAAGTCCTTCCGAATGCTAACCAGGGGCTGCACAAATGCTTTGGCTCCAGTGGACTCAGCTCATGTCTGCTCCCTCACCACATCTTGAAATCATTTAAGAAGTTTTAGGGTTTCTCAGGGTCCAAGTCCAACTGCCCTGGGGGAGAAACCCTAAGGGGTAGGAGAGGAGCATCCTGGGGAAGATGGAGGAGAAAGAAGAGAAGTAAGAAGAGGGCTGTCTTCTCTCCATGCCTGGCAGCTTGGCTTAGAGGCTGCCCCTCAGTGGCCTGCTCCCCAGGCCCTTGCCTACCCTCTGACCCCGAGTCTAACTTAGGGAAGGCAACAATCCAGGTTGCAGCTGCTGGACACTCTAATACATGGACCTCCCCTTTGGACATGCCTCTGTGGGCCCTGGTGCCTCCTGGCTTGGGCCTGGCTTACAGGAGCCAGCCAGAATCTGCCTTCTTGAGCAGTGGCCCCTGCTCCAAGCCTCTTGGGGGCCTCTCCCCGAATTGCACCCTACCCCTCCTTCTGGAGCTGGATGCTCCCAGTGCTTGCCAGGGGCCCTCTGGAGAAAGGCCTGCCTGATATTTCAAGGTGGCTAGAGGGTGTTAAGTGCTGGGAGACTGGCAGTTTTGGGGATCTGACCAATCATATCAAGTAGCAACCCATATATTTCATCTGCTCAGGGCAGCCAGCTCAGTTATCACACTTGCAGGAGAGTTCCAGCCCTGGCTAGGTGACTGGAATAGGGATGCACGAAGTGAACACCTCTCATAGGAGCGTTTCATACAGAAATGGTGGGAAATCCATAAACTGGGGTGTGAGGTGGCTTTGAATCAAAAGCATCAGTTCCAGTCTTCTTTCAATTCCCAAGTCCACAAAGTTCTATCATCACTGCCTCTCTTCTTAACCCAGCACTTAGGGAAAATGAACTTCTGTTTAATATTTTCACCATCTCTTCCTTCACTGGGGAAGTCACTTTTCCCATTTTATCCAAAATGGTCCACTGCTTACTTAGCCCTGTTTCCCACTGCACTATCAAGGCCCCTGCCTTGATATGGTTTAGAATGGGAGCAGAAACAGTTACAAGAGTTGTCCTCTCACCCCCAGGCAGCTCACTGGTCTGCACTGCTACAAGGCCTGAAATGCTCCCAGTGAAGTTCCTTTGGGTTAAGACATTGGTGAGTTTGAATAAACCGTAAATGTGTTCCTTGGGAAAGAGGATATACTAATCTATCATCACTCATGAAAAAGTATGAGGTTCACTCTGACATTAATGACCCAGTATGCAGCTCCCCAGTGTTTTATCTGAAGTTCCCCAAATCCAAGAAAAAAGGCTGATAATCCAATATTTTCATAAGCTTGACATCAAAAGTCATTAGGTGTGCAAATCTTGATCTAAAACGATATGTATTACAGTCTTCTTCCCACTTAGTGTGAATTTTCATGTAATATGCTGCAGAAATATTATTGTGTTTGACTATGGGGCACTGTCCAGAGCTGATACCTGGTCTTAGTGAAATTGGAAACATTCTGGATTCTGAACATATCCAGCCCTATGGGATTCAGATAAGGGATTATTGACTTGGCCTTGGATGAAGTGGGTTTCAGAGGACAGCATCCTGGGGCTGCGTAGAGAGAGCACTACACCAAGACCCAACGTTATGGTTCACAGAACAGACTCTTGGTCAAGCTGACCTGGAACCAGAGCTGCCCCCCTGCCCCCCGCAAGGTGATTAGGGCAGAGAGCAAGCTCTATGTTTTGCAAACAAGGATACCTAGGGTTCTGTGAGTGAAGCGACTTCCCCATGGTCACTCAGCTTGCAGGTCCAGGCTCAAATCTAATCTTCTAAACAAACTATTGACATGTGACTGAAGGCTAGTCCTGAGGGAGGCCGGAAGAGATGCAGGAAGTGACATTGTGCATCCTGGCATCTTGAGAGAGGCTGAACCTGTCTTTCTCCCCTCCCCACTCCCACCCCACACCCTACATGTTTAGGGAAAGCAGCAGGCTGACTGACTACATTAAGGACTTAAGATGGCAGAACCAAACAGCAGTGTTTCTCTTCCCCTCCTCTCTAGTGTCCTGGAAAAATAATGGTGATGATGATGATGTTGGCAAATACATACAATGCTATATGCCAGGCATTGTTCTAAGTATCTGCCTGCATTAGCTCATGTATTCCTCCCAACAGGTAGTCTCCCCCTGTTATGTAGATGCTTTGAATATCCGAATTTTATAGGTGAGGAGATGAGGCACAGAGAGGTTAAGTAATTTGGCCAAGGCCACACAGCTAGTAAAAGTAGCAGGGCTAGGACAGAAACTCAGGCAGTCTGGCTCCCAAGTTCAAGTTCTAAAGAATCACAGAGTCCAGGCTGCTTTGCAAGTCATCAGTCTAAGATCAAATTGGGACAGAACTCAGCTCTCTTGCAGACCCCTAAGTCACCCTTTGTCAAGGGACTCCCCCCACCAGCTCCTATGAAGAGCCTTTCCCCTGCTCTGAGTGAGCTCTAGTGCCCCTACCCACCGCTCCCCACCCCCCGGTGGCAGTCCTCCCTGCCAATTCCTGTCCTCAGTACAATTCCTTCCCATCCTTCCCATCCCACACTCACCTTAAACCCCATGGGGCGGAGCTTACATGCTATTTCGGCATCATGCAATGCGTCCTCATGAGACTCCAAGGTGAAATAAATTTGAGACCGGTTGCTGTAAAGCAAGTGGTCATTTGGAGCTGCCAAAATGAGAGGAAAAAACCTTGAGCAAAATGGCAAGTTATCTAGGACCTCTCTAGTAGAGACCCAAAAGTGTAAGCTTAATCTCCAGCCCTAGTATTGCCTTGCCTACCACACCCCCAGCCACTCTGGGTTTGAGCTTTCCCAACTGTAAAGAAGTCATTTCCCCCACCTCTCTCAAGCAGTTCCTTAAAGGGCCTGTGGGGTCAGTGGTGCATTATTAGCCACTCTGACACAGAGCAAATTCTGGCACCTTGCTTCATGGCTGTGGCTAGGAACTGGCAGCCTAGCTTCGAAGTGAGGTATTGCCCACAAGGAAACAGGCCAGGGAAGAGGGAGAAGGCGGTGGCTGGATGTGATCCCCATTCTTGCCACCAGGAAGACAAGTCCAAGTTAGTCTTACCAACATCTTTGTCTACAAACCCCAACACATACATGAAGTTTCTCTTAAGAAAACAGAAATGTATTTGCAAGGCTCCATCATCTCATTACAGATGGGCAGATATGATGGGCTGGAACAAGGCTTCTGTGAATAAAGTGAGGTTGGCTCTCATCAATACTCTAAATCGGTAGACCCAGGGCTGGAAAGGCCTTTAGAGATCATCTGGTTCAAGCAACCCAATCTTCAAGGAAAAGCAAGTTTGACAGGTGAAGGCATCTGCTCAAAGCCTAGCTAGCTGGTCAGAGTCATTGCTACCTTGACAGACTTTGAATCTGGGGTGGGAGACAGGTTCCTTTTTTTCTGAAAGACAGTATAGCACTTAGAATAATAGAAAGAAAGACTGGCCACTTTCTAGCACAAAGATACTCTTTGTTGGGGAGACCCCTTTCCTCTTTGAAGGGTGAAGAGGTCTTCACATTTTCACCCTGGATCATCTGGTGGTCCAAGGATGAACCCCCAGGGAAAAGTGATGACAGTAACCAAAAAAGAGGAGGAAGAGGGAAGGAAAGGCTTTCCTGGCTCTTAAGGGACAGCTGGGGCTTCCCGTGTGGCTCAGCTGGTAAAGAATCCGCCCGCAATGTGGGAGACCTGGGTTCGATCAGGAATGGAACCTTCCTTTGAGATCAGGGCTTCAGCAGGCTCTACCTATCTCCTTCATACTGCCCTGCTCTTCCCTAGAGACTGGGCTCCAGCTGCTGCTGTGGGAACAGGCTTTGTTGTTGTTTTCCCCGAGGGGGTATGCAGAGGGTTTGCGTGGGTGCCCATTACTTGCTCTTAAGACATCAGTTAAGAGTTTACAGTCTCCTCTGTTCATTTCCTGCAGCACAAGCCAGCCTGGTGGCAGCTGACAAGGCGCTGTGCCTGGGCACATGGGTCTGGGGTTGGGGGTTGCCAGTGATCCCCAGTCCACCTTCATTCCCGCCCCCCATTACCTGTTGCAAGCTTGGGTGAAGAGTCAACACGTGGAGACTGCAGCCCACCCCCTCCTCCACCGTCCAAGCAGGGCTCAGGGCACCCTCGGATCCCAGAATCCTGTCTGCCCAGCCCTGTCGCCTTCTCCCTGGCACGCCTCGCCAGACACCGCGCCCCACCGCTGAGCTCCTGGCAGCCGGCCCGAGCTGGGCAATACCCGTCGCTCGTCGCTGGGCGGCCACTTCCTGGGTCCAGGCGTGGGGGGTTGGGGGGAGTCGTTCCCCCGAGGGAACTCAGGCGTCCTAGTGCGGTCAGAGGCGCGGGGCTGCCCACGTCGCCCTTGAGGCCGCAGAGCCCACCCATCCGTCCTCAAGCGGCACGGAAAAGCTGGGCAGAGGCGGCCCCCTTGGCAGCCAGCCCAGCGTCCTCAGGGATCCCCGAGCCGTCGCCCTGCCCGTCGCCCTCTGGGCTGGAGGGCTAGGGTTCGAAGCGAGGGCGCAGACTGCGGGCAGGCGGCACGGGAGGGGGGAACGGGGAGGGCATCTATTTCAGCCGAGGATCGTGTGATAGGAAGCGGTGACAATGAGTCACAGGGCAGCGGGGCGCGAGAGCTCCTGCCCCCCCCCTCCCCGGCCCGCCGCCCGCACACGCTCGCGGGATGGTTTCCGAGGCGAGCGTGGCCCACTTCGGTTACCTCAGCCGTTACACAATCCCGCCCGCCCGCGCGGAGGAGGGGCCGCCCGGCCCGGGCCGCTCGCGGCCCTTATGCAACCAGTGCTCTCCTGACCTAATTCCATGCCGGACCCACCCCACCGGGAGCCGCGGCCCCGGAAGGGACAACTCCCGGCCGGCACGGCGGCCCCGGATCGGGAGGGAGCAGCAGACGCAGGCGCCGACCGAACAGCCCCGGCGGTCTGGAGCGCAGGGGCCCCGGCGCGCGAGTGGGAAGGGTGCGAAGTTCACCTCCCGGTTTGCAAGGTGTGGGCAGGTGGAAGAGGGGCTGGGGCACACGGAGGGAGAAGGAGAAGGCGAGCCCGAGAAACAGAGACGGTGACACCGAGCAACAGCCAGAGTGACAAGATGCGGAGGGAAAGGAAAAGACAGAGGAAATAGTGATACAAAGAGAAGCAAGGACTGAGACACGCAGGAACACACGAGCTAACAGGAGACATAAGACAAAGAGCAGGGAGACTTACAGAGACGCAGAAAAAAGGGTAGACACAGAGAAAAAGTCGGACAGGGAACTCCAGAGTTCCCCGCCCCCACTCCGCTCGCGGTCCATCCCACGGTCCGCGCACCCTCCTCCACCAGAGTCACCCCCAGCTCCCCTCCAGGCTCCAGCCCCCGCCCGGCCCGGCCCCGGCGGTACGGTGGGCTCACCCAGCCTAACTGCCTCGTTGTACTTCAGCAGGGCCGCCTCCACCTGGCGCTCGCGGTACAGCCGGTTGCCCTCGTGCCGGAGTTGCGACGCCCGTGCCGGGCCCGGGAACAACTTGCCAAGGAGGCCGCTGAGCACCACGTTGACCCGCAGCGGCGGCGGCGCCTGCTGCCCAGCCCGCCGGGTCCCGCGCGCCCGTCCGGTGGTCACCATCAATGCCGAGAGTTTGACGCCGCAGAGCGCACAGCGCCGATCGGCTGCCCGCTCGCGTTCCAGGCACAGTTTACAAAAGGTGTGGCCACAGGACAAGGACACGGGGTCTGAGAGAAATCCATGGCACTTCCGGCACTTGAAGCCGTCCCACACCTCGGTGGCCTCGGCGGCTGTCACCGCCCCTGCTTCTTCCGCCGCCAGCGCACAGCTCCCAGCGCGGCTCCCGTCTGGGGGCTCCGGCGCCGGCTCCTCGGCTTGCGGGACGTTCTCGGCCAGGCAGCGCACCAGCTGCTCCAGCTGCTCGGCCACCAACTGCTGCCGCTCGGAGAGCTGTCGGTACACCTCGAGGGCTTCCCGGAGGCGCCCCCCAGACGCCAGGGCGTCGGCCTGCGTGAGCAGGACTTTGCACTCCGGCGTCGAGGCCTTCGGAGGCTGCTCCTGCTCCGGGGGCCGAGTCGGTAGAGGTGCGGGGCCTTCTGCAGCCGCCTCCGGGTGGGGGCCCGTATTTCCGTGGGCCGCTGATGCCGCCGGCTCCGCCAGCTCTAAGTTGTTGCTGCCGAGCTCGGCGGGCAAGCTCAGCATCTGTCCAGTCTGAAATGAATCCATAGGGAGAGGGACACCAGTGGAAAAGAGGCGTCTAGGGGCCGGGGACGCGGAGCTGGGAGCGGCGGCTGGAGGGAATCGGGGCTGCCACCGCCGCCGCTCTGCCGCGCGCCGGTCCCTGCCGCGCCTCCGCGAGCTCCATGCCGGCCGCCCCGCGCCGCCTAATAACTGTCTTGTCTCAGCAAAGTGTTATATAAAACGGCACCACGTGATGCGCCGCCTCACCACTCATTGGCCGGCGGCGGGGCGATTGTTACAAAACCAGACAGTTTTGTAACAGTGTTGCGCTTGCTTCTTTTGGCTTCGCTTTTCTTGGCTTCTTTTTGCGGTTGTTTGTGTTTACACTCTCTTATTTCCCCCCTCGCGATGTGGTTCCTTTTTGGAAAAGTGAAGAAGAAGGAAAAAAAAAGCACCAGTGTCTACTCTTGGGCTTCTCCGTCTCCAAACCCTACTCCATCCCACCTCCAAACCCGTAAGCAAACAGGTCCCCTCTGCCAGCCGCTCATTAACTGCCCCCTCCCCGCTCCAGAGGCCGGTACCTCGAGAAGCACAGTCCTCCGGGTCTTTAGGGACTTAGGAGGTTTGCCCTCCCAGGGGCGACAGCGGCTGTCTGCGAAGGGAAGCACCTCGGGAGTGTTCCGGGGCAGCCCTTCACCTGGATCCCTGCCCCAGCTCCTTTCCTGCGGGGTCCCTGGCCACCTTCCCCAGGGAATCCCCCAAAGGCAGTAAGTGTGGTTACCCGAGGGCGCTTGGTCTCCTGTGCTGCGAGTGACTCCGAGCAGCGGGCCCGGCGGGCTCAGCACTTTGGCTGCGCTCGAAGAGCGGAAAGAACAAGCAGAGAAGATGCGCTCGCCGGCTCGGACCGGGAGGAGGCCCCCCGCGCGCCCTGCTTCTTCACCTCTCTCTCCGCCAGCGACGGAACCTGCGCTGGGGCCGGCGGCCCGCGCCCAGACCCTGGGGGCCACCGGCCGGATGGGCGCGGCCGCGAGCAGAAGGCCTGCTGGGTCAGTGGGTATTCTGGGGGCGTGGGAGAACCGCGAGGGGAAGACAGGAACCCAGAGCGCGGCTCAGGAGAAAGTCTGCGAGTCCCGCCGCACTTCAGCAGCCGGCTCAACTGCCTCTGGGTCTGCTGCTCCAGAACGGAGAGTTCTGACACTGGCGCGTCACAATGCGGTGGGGGTGGGGGGCGGGGGGCTGCGCACAGCCTAGGTGCTTGGCTTACTGTGTCAAGGGTGCCTCGCTTACTTCCAGAAGGCCAGAATGAACCGCCCACACTGTGTCTCCCTCCCGCCCCCACACTTAGGAAGGGAGCCAAAAGCACAAATAAGCAGACAGGCTCAGAGACTTAAAGAAATAACGCACTTCCCCCTGGGTCCCGCTGCTCCGAGCAGGGAGGTGGGGGTTTGGGCTCGCCTCTGGCTCAGTGGGCCTCGGGAGTCAACGGGCCCTGGATAATGCCTGAAGCGGTGCCTGGGGAAGAGTGCTGTCCCATTGGCCTGAGGACCTACAATGGGCTCCTGCTATGGCCGTTTCTGAGCTGAATGACCTTGGGTGAGTGATCTAAGACTGAGAGGCAACGTTTGGGCTTCTGAACCAATGTCAAGAATGACAGGTTATGTTGCGGAGCTAAGAACCACAAGATCCATCCAGGCTATGTCTGTTTCCACTCTTTAATCCCCCTTGAGTCAACCCCAAGGTCCCAGAGAACAGGTACTATGCAGCCATCCTTAGAGTCTCCCTCTGAGACAGGACAGGGGGAGAGGGTCAAAGGGGAGAAGGGGCATGGGCACATAGTGGGAGGGGACCAAGAAAAGAAACCGAGGAACTCAGGATATAGCCAAGAAGGCACACATAGGAAAACTTGCCTAGCAGCCCTGGCTTTGTCATAACTTGATGTGAGACTTTGGGCCAGACCTCCCACAAGGTCTTAGCTTGACAAGATCTTTGTCCTAATGACCAAGTTCCCCTTGAACCTTGAGTGCCTTCTATCCTAAGACTAGATGTCATGATACCTAACTCAACTAATTAAGTACAAAAGACTAGTCCAGATGCTATAGGAGGTGGTGGCTTGGACAAGGGGGTGCAGTCAGCAGTACTGGTGGAAGGACAGGTGATTAGATGGCTGTCTTCTTTTTCAAGGTCAGGCTTGAGCCAGATTCTGAAGCTAAGGAAGTCAGGGGACTGGCCAGGAGGCAGAGGAGAGGGTTGTGCCAGGCAGTTGGGGAGAAGCTGGGGCTCCTCCTAACTTGCTGTCTAAGGGAAGCTCCTTTTATCTTTGTTTCCCCTGTTATTCAATGGGGTCTGTCTTAGTCTGTTCAGGCTGCTATTACACAATGTCATAGACTGGGTGGTTTATAAGCAAAAAAAGATATTTCTTATAGAGAAATCCATTTCTGGAGGCTGGGAAGTCCAAGATCAAAGCGCTGACAGATCCACTGTCTGGTAAGAATCATCGTCCTGACTCAAGCCATTTGTCTTTTTGCTATAACTTCACATGGTGGAAAGGGGCAAGGATCTCTGTGAGGTCTTTTCTAAGTGCACGAATCACATTCATGAGGGCTCCACCCTCATGACCTAATCACCTCTCAAAGGTTGCATCTCCAAATACCATCACATTGGGGATTATGTTTCAACATATGAATTCAGGCGGAGGACACAGTCTGTAGCGGGCCAGCATTAATTATCTGCCTGCCTCTTCTGGCACCTGTGCGGTGGGATAGTCTGTGGGGCAGGTAAAGAGATTCATATGAAAGAGTCATGAGATGGATAATAATGAAAACCTCTTAGTTCAAGAATTATATCCCTTTGACAAGTTTTAAAACTAGATATTGGTTATCCAAAATTGTCTTCCAGATGCAGATTTGGGATGTGCTTTTTTCCCTGGACCACCTTGACAAGTCAGCATCCCCTGGGTTGACTTCCCTCCCTTGCCTGTCATGGGTGGAGAGACAAGGAGAAGGCCCAGTCAGGCAGGCCTGCAGACTTGGCATAGAGATGCTGTCATTAGGTAGCCCCTCTGGGCAGCTGTGTGTGCCCATGGCTAACCATGAAGTTAGGGATGTTCAAACTGCAGGGAGCAATGGTGCAAAAGGCAGCACCATCCACTCACTGACCAGACTCCATGAGAGTTTTACATTGTATTTTCAAATCAAGACTGCCTGCAGGATGACACCAAGTGGGTTTCTATTAAACACTGGAAAAACGTTACCACAATGCTTCTCTTTCCTTCGTTTAAACAATTCCATTGATATTCATTGGTGAACCAACTTACAAATCTACTCAAAACTTCTCCTCCTTTGCCCTTAATAACTGAAGTTCCTAGATCGTGATGAAGCTAAGGAGAGAGGAGAAATGGATGACTCTTTTTCAGATGCAAATATTCCCTTTAGAGGGCTGGGTCCTTCAAACTTCCATTTTTTGTGATATATATATATATATATATATATATTTTTTTTTTTTTTTGGCCAGGAACCCCTCCTAGCTAAGGTTAACCAGGAAAAAGCCCATGAATTGATCTGTCCCTTCTTTTCAGCTGACTCACATCAAGTTTCCCACCTGAGCTCTGAGGATCCTCTCTGGGGCCCAGAGGAGACAGCAGGCAGGGCTTGACTCCAGCTCCCCTCAACAGGGGCAACCAGGCATTCACCAGTTTCACCTAGTGAGCTTCGGGGATGATTTCATTGAAGAAAGGCTTTCCCTTTCTTAAAATTAAAAAGTTTTAGAACGTTGGCAATTTTCACCTCTTTTAACAAATTTGTTGAGCATCTTCTCTGAACCAGGGACTTGGCTTCTAGGTCTTCCCTTACATATGGTAGCACAGCTTTCCCCAAGCCAGCTACGGGGCAAGGACTCACCTCATGTCCTTCTTCTCCTCCTCAGGGAACAACATGTGAACAGATCGTACTGAACATTGCAGTGGACATTCTGGCCCTAGATAGCAGTGAGCAGAGGGACAAGAGGAAACCCAGCTGGTCTATACCTTTGCCCTGGATTGTTCACAGAGAGGGTGGGCAGTCCTTCACCTGGAGTTGACAGTCCTACACTTGGGAAGGGCTGGTAACATCTCTGGAAGGGAAGAATGCAGCCCTAGCCAGGGAGCTGCAGTGAGGAATGAGCAACCCTCTCCCACCCCCACACACACTAGGGGTGGAAGCTTGGCCAAAGCATTTGCTTGTTCTTTAGTTGAGTTTCTCATTTTATAAACCAGGAGTGATCCATCAATGACATAGTTCTTACAGGAAAAAAAAATAAGGCATGGTGGACATTAAAGACATTGACACAAAAAAGGCTGCCCCTGGCTAACCAGAGTAGTGAAAAAAATCCAGAGCTGAAAGAAACTTATATATCAGTCCTGGTCTCTCAAGTGAGGGACTGAGGGCTAGAGAAGGCAGGCAACTTGCTGCAGGTCACAATGGGAGTTTGTGACAGCGCCAAGATTGGAAGCTAGGGCTCTTGCCTCTTTGTTTAAAGTTCTTTCCATTTGACCAGAAAGCTTCCAAAGGACACAGAACACCTCCCAAATAAATAAGAAATGATTTCAGGTTTCCGAATTACAAGATCTGCTATTCAACAAATATTTATTGAAGAGCTACTAGGTGCTAATGGAGCTGGCATTTTGGGGGGGCAAGAAGAGAAGGGTAGGACACTGTTTTTATCCTCTGATAGCTAACTGAGGAAATAAGCAACAAAGATTTGAAACAGTTAAGTAAAAATAACAAGCAGTATGTGAGAAGTGCCAAAATTGGGAGAACAGGGAGTCCAAGGGCGAGCTCAAAGGAGACAGAACGCAATGTCTCCCATCTCGTAGCAAAGGTTCCTTTAAGCTGACTTGAGAGGATTTAAACAGGAAGGTTAAAGACCACCCCACTGCTCAACTCAAGGGGGTTCCCTTCACACTGGGGGCCACTTGGCCAGGAGAACAGAGAAGAAATCCAAGTAAGCCAGGTTGGTCAAGGCCCAGGAATTTGTATTTTTAAAGTCCACCCATGTGAGTATGCTCAGCCAGGACCGAAGTTCACCCGTGTAAAGGAAAATGCAGAATAAATTGGATAAGG